ACATGGTCTGGTTTAGAGACTAGATTAAAAGAACAGGAAGAATTTTTTTACAAGACTATAGCTGATCTCTGGCCAGTGACAATACAGCAATTAGGGTGCTTGTTTTGGATGCAGTCAACCTGGGTTCAATCCCTGATATCCCATATGGTCTCCCCAGCCTTCCAATAGTAAACCAAGAACATTGCTCAGTGTAGCCTCTAAACAAAACAACAAAAAAAGAATATAGTTGATCTTATGTTCAATCCAGTGCTCATCACATGAGTGTGTAGAACAAATTTGTACCATTGCTAATGACACTGAGTTTGTTGCCTTGAACAAATTTACTTTTACAGTGTGTAACCTATTACAATTAAGAGATACTCAAGTTTCCAGTGACTTTTCACTGGTTTTGGTGATCCCTTGCTTGAATCAGTTATTACACTGGTATTGCATGTGCTTCCTGGCTTTAGAATTTATTTTTTAATTTCTTTCTGATATTCTATTTTTCTTTCTTTAGCCTCTTTCTTCCTCTAGGGTTTTTCTTTGTGATTCTGTAAACTTTATTTACTCACTACTACAATCGGCTGGAGCGATAGCACAGCAGCAGGGAATTTGCCTTGCACGCGGCTAACATGGCCAACCCGAGTTCAATTCCTCTGCCCCTCTCAGAGAGTCCGGCAAGCTACCGAAAGTATCTCGCCCGCACGGCAGTGACGTATTGGATATGCCAAACACAGTAACAACAAAGTCTCCAATGGAGACGTTACTGGGCCTGCTCGACCAAATCAATGAACAACGGGAGGACCTTTACCTTTTACCTTACTACAATCAAGCAGAATGTTTTTTTGGGGTAATATTCAAATCTCCCAGGATTTGGCTCATGGGAACCCTTTCCAGCTGGTAATCCTTTTATCACTCCTCGGTTTCCAGAATTTGCTGCATGTCTCCTTGCTTTCCCACCTCACAGAGTAAACTAATCTACAGAGAGCAGAAACTTCTCTCCTCAGCAGCCCAGTGACATGCACAGCAAGATTCCCCAGACTATGTTAAGGGGATTTCTCTTTCCGGAGGTCTGGAGGCCTCCGCCGTGTCAGTCTGACCAGTGCATTCTCTTTTAATAAACTGACTTTCTGCCTAAATGGTCTTGCTCTCTGGATAAATTTTTTTTTTACCATCTTATGGCTTGGGCCCAGTGGGACTTGGGTTCGAGCAGTTATTTCAGTCTCTCCAACTTCCAGTTCATAGAAATATTCCTCATTCTTTTAAGATGGATTTATTTTTGTGATTGGGACTTCGAGCCATACCCAATGGTGCTGAAGGCTCACTCCTGGGAGTGCTTCAGGCAATCATATGCTAGGCATGTGCAAGGCAAAAGCTTTAATCTCTATACTATCTCTCCAGTCCTATTTTTCTAAAATTAAAAAAAAAGTGCAAGAAATCTCATAGCAAGATTATAGCACAAGATTATGCAATGAGGCTTTTATGGGCAAACATTTCTGCAGTTTAGAATCAGTATGCCTTTTCAAAAACAGACAGTGAATACCTAATGTATGTTTTGTTTTATGTTTGAGAAGACTAACTAGCAGGGTAGGTATAAGAATCTCATTTTTAGAAACACTCTAAGTGATTTTGCTGCACAGCCAGATTTTGAGTACTCTTGCTTACTGTGAACGGCAAGGATGGTGTCCAGGAATGTAGAAATCTTCACTTTTTTTTTTATTTTAATGAGAAAACAACAGCAAAGAAAGGAAATTTTTGCCTTCCTGGTTTACCTGGCTTACTAGATTACCTAGTAGAGTACAAGTAAGCTGTATAAACAGAAACTTAATGCTTGGAGTCTGTGTCCAAACAAATACATTGGTGATAAGGATATTATATGTAATCTAATGTCATGTCTAAGTGACCTTGATTTGGGCAGCAGATGAATTTAAGTTTGGATATGTTGAGTCTGAAGTAGCCAAGTAGTTGCATCTAATATAGAAGTATAGACCAGATAAGGAGAGCAGATGAGAAGTCATTGTCTACATAGACTGGGTGAAAAAGGACTGAGAGGAAGGAGTTTAAGACCCAAACTTGGGCTATCAAGTACTTCAGGTGAGTCTTCTGAAAATATAAAATGGCTACCATGGAGGAGAAACAGAGAAGACCATCATGAAAGCAAACAAACGAATAAGGCCAGGCTGCAGAATGCTATAAGACACACACACACACACACACACACACACACACACACACACACACACACACACAGGCGCGCGCAAGAAGTTATTGGTATCAAAGACTTGAAAAATGAAGCATGACAAGTATTCACTGGATTTAGCAGCCAGGATACCAGTGGTGTGACCTTTGCCAGAGCCTACTAGGTTCCGTGGTGGAAACATCAGCCGACCATCCTGGGCATGAAGGAAGGTGTTCAACCTCCTACTAACAGTCTTCCCCCACACTGGAGGTGTATCAGTTTCAACAGTCTCCTCTAAAAGCAACAAAAGTGAACGTTTGCACCTATAGGAAACCTCTAAATTTAGTCTTTTCTCCTATAAAATATTCTTTGATCTTTGGTGCCAACCTGTTTATATTAGAATAAAAGGTAAGATGCTTTTGGAGTTTGCAAGCAGTGCACTTATTTTAGATTTACTAACACAATATAAAGGTAATTTTGTATATAGCATCAAAATTATAATGTAACAATATGTTTTTATCACAGATCACAGATCATTCTGTTATTCCTGTTATTCGTCGATTGCCTCAAGCAGGCCCCAGTAATGTCTCCTTCATTCTAGCCCTGAGATTATATTCAAGGCTCTTTAGGAGAATGAGACCCATCATTGTTACTGGTATTTGGCATATTGGGTACGCCACGGGGAGCTTGCCAGACTCTGCCGTGTGGGCAGGCTACATTTGGTAGCCTGCCAGTTTGTCAAAGTAGGAATGAAATGTCATAATAAGATGTTGCGCGGCCGCATTCCGGCAGCTGGTTTTTATAGTCTCTGAGTCTTGGCCGCTGATGGGATTACACGGCGCCAGGGGGCCAGTTGGTGGGTGTGACCCCCGCCTACTGGAATTTGAAGGATCTGGGTAGAGGATGCTCGACTCCAATCCGAGTAGGCTTGGAGATCTCGGCCTCGGAACCCACGTGGCTTTGTCCCTCTGCCAGTACCTTCAGGTGTGCGGAGAGTGGTCTCAGCATGGTGGTGGTTGGTCCTGGAGGTCTTCGGCTGCCAGGGCCCTGATCAGGGCGGGGAGGAAAGCTCAACCCGCTCCCCTCCAAGGGGCCCCGGCGAGGAATAGCCAGGCGCGGGGGCAGGAGACTGCACTGTTCTCCCTCTGGGAGCTGGTTTTTATAGTTTTTATGGTATTCCTTAAAGAACACTCTGACTTTCAAATAGTATCCCTATCAAATATGAGGACTTATGGATCATGAACAACTTTTTCATCTGTTTTTGGATCTCACCCAGTGTTGCTCAGGTGTTATGCCTGGCTCTATGCTCAGGGATCACTCCTGGCAGTGCTCAGGGGACCATATGGGATGCTAAGGAATGAACCCGGGGTACCCAGGTCAGCCCTGTGCAAGGCAAGCGTCCATTCCTGTTGTACTATTTCTCTAGCCCCTAGAATAACTTTTAAAATCAATCTCCATTCTCTCCGATTCTTGACACACTCCAATCTCTACTCTGGATTATGCCACCACCACTGAGAACTGGTTGAGCAGCACGTTGAAAGACGTTTGCTTGACCAGGATGTACTCACAGAAGAAATGCTGGGTGGTCCCTGCGGTGGCTGGAGCGTTAGCACAGTGGGGAGGACATTTGCTTTGCAGGCGGCCTACCCAGGTTCATTTTCCAGCATCCTATTTGGTCCCATGAGCACTGCCAGGTGTAATTCCTGAGTGCAGAGCCAGAAGTAACCCCCAAGCATCGCTGGGTGTGATCCGAAAAGTTAAAAAAAAAAAGTTGCGTGGTACCCAAATCTGGCTGAACAGCACAATGGACAAACTGGGCGTAGGTTAAGAAAACTGAACAGGGACTGGAGAGACAGTACAGCCCTGCAGGAGGCCAGACTGGGTTCGATTTCAGACAACCCATCGGCCCTGCGAGCACCACCAGGAGTAATTCCTGAGCACAGAGCCAGGAGTAACCACACCGGGTGTGGCATAAAACCGAAATCAAACAAAAGAAAACAGGGGCTGGAGCAATAGCACAGCCGGTAGGGCGTTTGCCTTGCACGCAGCCGACCTAGGTTCCCAGCATCCCATCTGATGCCCCGAGCACCGCCAGGAGTAATTCCTGAGTGCATGAACCAGGAGTAACTCTTGTGCATCCCAGGGTGTGACCCAAAAAGCAAAGCAAAACAAACAAACAAACAAACAAAAAAACAGAATGAGACAGCCCTAGATCTACTGGGTGGACAGGGCATCTATTTGAATAAGTTCCTTTCCTGACACTAATTAGTTCAACTCCTTAAAGACACTGAGGTGCAAAGCAGTTTACACGGAGACGGGATCTCAGAAACTCAGAACTGGAGACGGGCGGTCCTGCGCTCTGGCACCGGGCCAAAGGTCCTAAACTGCGTCTGGGTTTCGTTTGGGGGGGCGCGGGAGTGGGGTGGGGACTGACTTTTCTGGGTTCTAGAGTATCCTTCTTGGACAGTTGTTCTCTGTGCAGGAGACGCTGCAGGCTCGCGTTTCTTGACTCAAACTCGCCCTCTGGTCTCTCCCCTGCCAGACCTTGGCAGATTCGTAGCCTGAGGCTCTTGGACTCCCGCGCCCGGAGCAGAGGGCGGAGAAGGTCATAAAAGCCCCGCCCATAGCCCCGCCCCCTCCACGCCCCCTCCACCGCCCCATCTACACTCACGGAAGGTTGGGGGCGGGCCCTTGCCTTCGCCCTGCCGCCGCGAGGGGCGTTCCCGGAAGTGGATGGGTGTCGAGCGCTTAGGAGCCCGGCGCTCATTGGCTGGTCCCGGCGCCGCAAGCTCTCCGGGAATTTGTATCGAACGTTGGGGCCAAAAGCGTGAGAAGAGAGAGAATGGCTTGTTTGAGTCAGTCTTTGCGCCAACTTCAGGGACCTTTGCTTGCATTCAAGGAATCGGTGGAGGAGGAGGACATGGACTGTCTGAAGGAGGATGAGGAGGAGGAGGACGATCCTGAGTTTGTGGACGCGGAGGAGCTCTGCAGTGGGGGCGTGAAAGCAGGCAGCCTCCCGGGTCGCCTCCCGGGTGAGCAAGCCCCTCTCCGGGCCCGGGGAGGAGGGTGGGAGTAGGGCTGCGTGTCCTCCCCCAAGTGTGGAGCGCACCGTGGAGCGCACCATGCCGGCGGCTCCTTTTTTTTGTGGGGGGGGTGGTCACACCTGGCGATGCACAGAGGTTACTCCTGGCTCTGCACTCAGGAATTACCCCTGGCGGTGCTCAGGGGACCATATGGGATGCTGGGAATCGAACCCGGGTTCGCAGCGTGCAAAGCAAACGCCCTACCCGCTGTGCTATTGCTCCAGCGCCCCCCCCCCCCCCCCCCCCCGCCGGCTCCTTAAGGATGAGCTCCTCTCCTACTTAGAATTAGAATTAAATATTGGTAACAGTAGCAGCGAGGTCAGCAAATACTGGGTGTTATATTTGTGCCCGACAATGCATTATCTCATTTAATGCTCACAACCTTTCCAGGTGGTTTTGTAGTCGAGGAAATAGTGGTTGTCGAGCGTGACACCACATTCAGGGCTTTTTAACTATATTCCTGGCCCTGCTTGGATTCAAATAGGTAGTTTTTTCCAGTAACTTAGAAAACAAGAAACACCTCGAGACTTTGTGGACCCATTTATTGTTGAGATAAATGTGTGATCAGTGTTTACCTCATGTGGTTTCCTGTTATGAATTGTGATTGTGTGAATGCTGTGACTGATACTTAAGCATAATTTTGTATTCAGACCAGTGCTGTCCAGTGGAACTTTATGCATCAGTGACCATAGCTCAGACTTGCACTATTTTAGTAGACACTAGCCACATGTGGCTGTTGAAAACTTGAAAGGTAGCTAGTGGCACCGAACTGATTTTTGTGTTTTAGGAAGTGTTAATTACAATTTAGACCGTCATGTAGTGAGATAGCAAAGGTGCAGACAGAAAAATTTTGAGTATTTCTAGAGGGTGTGATCGTTATTCCAAAAGTATAACTGGCAGATTCCCTTGTTTCCAACCAAGTGTCCATGACCGGAAAGATAAGATGAAGAATTTGCTCTTTGGAAAGGGCTGAGGGAAGGCGGTGGCACTTACTGTCTAGGAAATAGAGCATAAATCTTAAATAATCACAGAAATAATTATAGTATTTCTTAGTTCTTAGAAGCAAATAGTGCTATGAAATGACGTTCATGAGATTCAGAGAAGGTTTTTCTGAATAACTGAAGTCTGTAGTAAATGGAATCAACATAAAGGAAGCAAGCTCCACTTAAGGCAGATGGAACTGGGAATGCAAAGGTCCTATGATTGGAGGAACTGAGACGTTTTCAGAAACTTTAGGAAGGTCTCTATTGACTGAGGTCAGATTAACAGAGAGAAGACCGCTTTTAGAAGAGAAACAGTAGACTTTTTCCATGTACCATGCTTGTTTCTTAGACTACAAGGAGAGGAAATGTTCTAATCTAGAGAATTTATGGTTAGATAAACAGTGCCTAGGTAATTAAGTCAAAGGACTGGAGCTTGTGCTTTGCATATAGGAGGTCCTTGGTATCACTAGTTCCCCAAGCAACATGGGAGTAGACCAAACCAAAACCAAAACCAAAACCAAAACTGATACAGAAAACAGCCAACTTCAGGTGGAATTTGGGCAGCTCAGTAGGCATTTGTAGAGAGCAGAGTCCTTTGGCCTTTTACATGTGTGGACCAACACTTGTTGCACACTGCAGTCCATGGCAGTTATAATCAACACTATACACCAGTGATTTTTCCATTTTTGAGTACTTGCAGACCAACACTGGGACATGGGGCTTGTGGTTGAAGTCCCCTGATCCTTGTACTGTAAGCGTAGAGAATGGGAGATTTGATCAAACTGTGGAAATGGTTTAAAATATTCTGAATTAACTTTTTTTCCAAAGTTGTGATTTTTGATGAAAACACTCAAGAGAACTATGCCGTATTTGGACGTTTTCCAATGACAAGTGCTTGGTGGCGAGTGAAGGTTCGAGTAAAGCCTTTGGGAACGAAGCGCTATCAAATGCAAGGATTTCCATCTTACTTTTTGCAGTATGATATGTCACCACCAAATCAAAAACATATCTGTTCCCTCTTTCTGAAAGATTGTAATGTCCCCGCTGAAAATATAAATAAATTTTTAACATGGATAGATGCTGTATCAAGTTGTAAAAAACTCAACTTTGGAAATCTTAGGGAAACATTGACAATGTTCCAAAAGGAATTTGAAAGGAATCATCAAAAGCAGTCTAAACAGAGAAGTCAGGAAGAGCCACCACTGGATTCTGAGATAATAAACCTTTCTGTGGAAAACGAAAGTAAGTGTGATTTTTTTTTAAATCAAGTTTAAGTAAAATTGTGATAATTACTGATGGATGTATTTAAAAGATATTACTATAGTGTCTTGGCAGATGTTCTTTTTGAAAATTGGTTTGCTGAAGGACCAAGGAGATAGAAAAGGTGGCACTTTGTCTGTGAGGGACCCTGGTCATCCCCAGGGCCGCATATTTCCTCCCTGAGAGCACCATTGAGTATACCCTGGAGATCCCTGAGCACTGCCATGCTTACATGCTCTGGCCCTAACCAAGTGTCTCTGGGAGTAGCCCCTGATCCCCTGAGCACTATTTGGAAATTGCCCTGCCCCCCTCCCCAAAATTGGTTTGATGAAATGTGTTTTTATTACATTTGGAGTATGCCCTTGATATTCCACATTTCTCCCCTACAATGTGAAGAGATTGGGTAAGATGGATCTTCTGCCTCTAATCAGTTTCTTTCCAGCTCTACAATTGCTTCTTGCTTTTACTTCCTTTTTTTCTTTTGTATCCATGGGATTACTTTGAGTACTTAAGAAAGGTTTATTAGTCAACTGTTTAGTCTAATAAGGCTAGAATGTGAGTAACCCTTTTGCAAAGACTCCAGTCCAAAATGATTCAAAATAACTTTTTTTCCCCATTTTTTTGGTTAAGGAGCGGAATTTATTGTGGGGGAGAGGGTGAGGACTGGGGTGAGGGCAGCTCTGGGACTCTGTGAAGTACGGTGCCCGCCATTTATCTAGAAGCCCATGATTTGGGATATATTTGACCCAATTATGTCTTTAAACATATCTGCATTCAACTTGATAAAAGCCCACTTCTTGGAGATGTGAATTTTCTGACAAGGAAACTTAAACTTGACCTGGTGGAGAGTCCCAATCACATGCTCCTTGTTCTGTTTGGTGCCTGAGATTGAAGCCAGTAAGAGAGCAGATAGGAGTGTCCATGGCAAAGGACAGTCTCCAATGTCCCTTGTTACAGCCCATCCAAGCCATAGACCATGTGCAACTGAAGAGACTACTTGCTGTCTGTAGACACTGCACTGGGACCTGTGTGGTGGAGAATATGGATAACTTTGTGTTTTTGGAGGGGGCACCCAGTAGTACCAGAAAATCTGGGGGCCACAACCAATGATAGTTGGCCAGCTAGGACCCGAGTTTGTGAAAGATGTGCAGATGCCTGGACCACCTGACGGTGCTTGGGAGTATTCAGTATTACTCAAGAAGTCATTTGGGGCCAGGGATGAAACCTGGATGGAGTGCACTTGTATGTATCCTCACCTGTGTACACTTGCATTTATCCTCTCCTTAGCCCTGGTTAAAATAACTTAAAATGGATTTATTTCCCAGATTTTCACATATATAGAATATTTCATGTCTTTTACCAAATAAATCTGGCAGTGTATTACTGAATGACTTTAATGACAAAAAAACATGATTGCAGAGGAGAGATTATAACGGTTAATTTATAAATGACCTGTTTTATATTTAGCTGTGAATCTATATTGAGTCAGAAATTGTATTCTGATTATGTTGCAAACCAAAGGAAACAAAAGACTTCAGTAACAAGCTAAGCACCTAAAGTGCATACATTTGGGGCCGGAGAGATAGTACAGCAGGGAGGGCATTTGCCTTGCAAGTGGCCAGCATAGATTCAATCCCTGACACACTATATGGTTCCCTCGGTATTTTGAGGAGGAGATATTCCTGAATGAATAGCCAGGAGTAACCCCTGAGCATCACTGGGTGTGCCCCCACCCCGAAAAAAAATATTACACACATTTTGATGTTACTATAACTGTTAAAATCTGATCTTTTTTTGGTAGTTAATATAAATTTATTAATTTCTCTCATTAATTTGAATGGGGCGGCACACCCACAATGCCGAGCATCCACACATGGTGGCGCTGCAGAGCACTGGCCCTGCCTTCTCCGCCGGCTCCTTGTGGCCCAGAGGGGGGTTTCTTGAATTGACTGTGCTGAATGAGAAAGTCTATCAAACCTGTTGTTCCGTGAGTCACTTTGTTTATTTTGATTTGTTCTTTTCTGCTATGTTTTAGTTCCATTTAAACATGTAATGACAGCTTTGCAGTTTCCAAAAATCATGGAATTCCTTCCAATTCTTCTGCCTCGACATTTTAAACGGCTCATAAGCTCAGGTTACGAAGAGTTGTTGAGAGCGATAGAAGAGATATTAACCACAAATCCATGGAAACTTGGATTTGGTAAAGTAAGTGAGGCATCTGCTTAAACATTTAATAGTTTTGTATGCAGTGGGATTTTGACACTGTCTTTCAAAGGAAAAAAATGTGTATGGATTCCAGTATTGATTTATTTTTGTTAGTGTTGGGCTGGAGCAATAGCACAGTGGATAGGGCAGTTTGCCTTGCACGTGGCCAACCAGGCCGACCCCGAGTTCGATTCCTCTGCCTTTGATTCCTCTGCCCCTCTTGGAGATCCCGGCAAGCTACCGGGAGTATCTCGCCCACTCTGCAAAGCCTGGCAAGCTACCCCTGACGTATTTGATATGCCAAACACAGTAACAACAAGTCTCACAATGTTACTGGACCTGCTCGAGCAAATCGATAAACAATGGGAGGACAGTGACAGTGACAGTTGTTAGTGTTAGAACTGATTATAAATTTATGACTTTAACTCATATGTAATACATTTATAAAGAAAAAACAAAATAACATTGAGGATGTTCAAATTATTTATAATGTAAATATATCATTTAATATGAAAGTTCTTTAAAACTATATTTCCATTTGAATCTTGACTTAGATCTCAAGAAGACACAAGTTCATGTGAGTTTGGCAAGTTCTTATGAATTTGTGTTACTAAAGCATCCCTTCTCTTCCCCTTCAGCCCTTCCTTCCCCTCCTTCCCTTTGCTGTTTTTGTTTTTTGTTTTTGCTTTTGGACCACACCTGGCAGTGATCAGGGGCTAGCCCTGTTCTGTACTCAGAAGTGGTCCCTAGCAGTGCTCAGAGTAGCATATGTTCTACTGGGTATTGAACTGAGGTTGACAACATGCAAGGCAACTAACGGCCTTAGTTCCCTATTTTATATTTAAAAAATTAAAAAATTTTCATTATTGATGTGTTGGGCTGGAGCGATAGCACAGCGGTAGGGCGTTCGCCTTACAAGCGGCCAACATGGCCAACCCGAGTTCGATTCCTCCGCCCCTCTCGGAGAGCCCGGCAAGCTACCGAGAGTATTTGATATGCCAGACACAGTAACAACAAAGTCTCCAATGGAGACGTTACTGGGCCCGCTCGAGCAAATCGACGATCAACGGGAGGGCCTTTACCTTTACCTTTTATTGATGTGTTATATCATGATATAACTAAAAAAATTGTCTAGTACTGCCATTTACAAATGAATCCATCTCTGTTCTTATCTGGAGACCAAAAAAAGTATTAACATGCAAATATAGCTCTTAGATCTTGGCAGTACTTCATTAAAGGTAATTTTCCAAATGACGGCACAGATGAAAATTCTGAGATGATTCTAAAACCCTCAAAAATATTTCTTGGGCTGGAGAGATAGTACAGTGGGTAGGGTGTTTCCCTTGTACACAGCCAACCCTGATTCGATCCCCGGCATCCCATATGGTCCCCCAAGTACCGCCAGGAGTAATTCCTGAGTGCAGAGCCAAGATAACCCTGAGCATTGCTGGATGTGACCCAAAAAAGCAAAAAAAAAAAAAAAAAAGAAAGAAAAGAAAAGAAAATTTTCATCTCCCTCCTTTGTAGTTACAGCAATTAGAGCAATACTAGAATAATAAATTTCTTCTGTGTAAAATGACTGTGGTTTTAGTATGCTTTGAAAAATAAGATTCTAGGACATGGGATTATTGTATATATTTATTCAGTAAAGAAGAGTAGTAGAACAGTAAGCAAGTGGAAAAAGCAACTTGAAGCTCTACAATGTAGCATAGAAACCATCACCTAATCATAAAGACTTTGACTGATCTTAGTTTGCTGTGCTTACTAATCATAGCCCTTTAATTCTTTTTTCTGGGGGAGGGGGGGTTGTCATCCCCAGCAATGCTCAGGGGTTTTCCCTCAGGAATTACTCCTGGTGGTGCTTGGGGGACCATGTTGGATGCCGGGGATTGAACCCGACTTGACCATTTGCAAGACAAACACCCTACCCGCTATACTATCGCTCCAGCCCCATGTCTTTTAAGTCTTTGCCATGTACTATATATAGGTATCTTAAGCAATGGAAAGTTATTGTGGGAGGTATGAACGGCTGTGAATTAAAAACAAGTGCCCTAGGAGGGTAAGTTTCTGCTGAGATCTCTTACATGGTGGGTGGTTGTCTTCCTGTGGCTTTACCTGGGCTCCTTTCTGTGCCTGTTTTCTAATCACTAGACTAGTGAAGCCAGACATATTGGGTTAGTATCCACCCCAGTGACTTCAGTTTACCTTAATTACCTTTTGTTAAGACCCTGTCTCCAAATGCAGCCATATTCTGAAGTATTAGAAGTTAGGATTTCAACATATGAATTTTGAGAGGACTTAATTCAGCTTATAAAATACATGGAGATCTCTTGAAATGGTGATGCCATAAAAAAAAAAAATGAAATGGAGCTGATCAATGACCATAGTGGATCATAGTGAAGGAAGTTCTGAATCTGTTCTGTAGACTTTGGGCAGGTTGTGGATAGGCAGGTAGAAAACCAGCAAGCTGAGCTAAGAAAGTCAGTCATTAACTTCATAATACTAAGTTTAACACAAAGTTAATTGAACTTATAGTACATCACATTGCTATGGATCCTGTTTATACTGATTAAACTAAAATTAATAGATTGATAGATGATTAATAGATGTGTGCTATTAACTTTTTCAAAGATGGGAGAAAGGAGTATGTATGTAGAGCTGATGATATATGCAGAGATCTTACATAAAAACTTAATTTACCAGGGTGTTGAAATTAGAACTTTTATATACATCAAGTGAATATCATATATGTTTTTATATGTAGGAAGCAATTATTATATATTTTAATATATCGATCATATGTGTATATATCACATCAAGCAGTAGTATGCAGAGATAAATTCTGGAAGAAATACTAGTTGTATTGAAAGTATTGTCTCTGGAAGTTAAGGAAAGTCAAATCAGACAATGTTTTTTTTTTTTTGGTCATACCTGGCAATGTACAGGGGTTACTCCTGGTTCTGCACTCAGGAATTACCCCCTGTGGTGCTTAGGGGACCATATGGGATGCTGGGAATTGAACCCAGGTCAGCCGCGTGCAAGGCAAATGCCTTACCCGCTGTGCTATTGCTCTAGCCCCTGGCAATTCTTTTTTTGTGTGAAAAACTTACTGAAACTATCTTTTAAAACTATGTATATTACTTCGGGGCTGGAGCGATAGCACAGAGGGTAGGGTGTTTGCCTTGCATGCGGTCCACGCGGCCAACCTGAGTTCGATTCCTCCGCCCCTCTCGGAGAGCCCGACAAGCTACCGAGAGTATCTCGCCTGCATGGCAAAGCCTGGCAAGCTACCTGTGATGTGTTGTGTATGCCAAACACAGTAACAACGAGTCTCACGATGGAGATGTTACTGGGCCCGCTCGAACAAATCGAACAACTGGAGGACAGTGCTATGAGTGACAATGTTATATTACTTTGAGAATCATTTTAATTAAAAACTATGTAGATTTTTGTTCAAATAAAGAAAGTTAATGATGTATTTATTTCTTCTCATTAGTTTATTTCTCCAAATTTAGCTGAAATAAATATCTTCTGGATCTTAGAAATATTAGAACATATCCTTTGTGTAATTCTAATAATAGACACCATTCAAAAAATTAAAATATAAAGCAACTTGAATTTTATTTTCTTAAAGATAACCTACAGAGAGCTGCAGCTTCTGCGGTGTGAGGCCAGTTGGACAGCATTCTGTCAGTGTGAGTCTCTCCTGGCACTGATGACTGACTTGGAGAAGAATGCTTTAATTATCTATTCCAAACTGAAGGAGCTCTGCAGAGAACATGGGCACACGTATGTTGAAATAGATGAGTTAACATCTCTGTTGTCGGATCTCATGTTTGTCCCTGATGCTTGGAAGTCTCTGAAGTTCATGAAGGATATTGGTGTCGTGACATATGAGAAGAACCATGTCTTTCTTTCTGACCTGTATGAGGCTGAAAGAGACATCGCCTGGTCCATTGGTGTTCTGATGACAAGGCCTCCATGGCATTTGCATGTCGATGTTAAGAAGGTGCTTGCTTCTCTTCATGCCACAAAACTGGAGGATTCAGGAAGTGGGGATACATGGGATGAGAGTAAGCCCGGTGAAATAGCACCAGAGGACTCGGTGTCCAACCAGGACACACAGGGCAGCTGGGAACATCTTTGGGATAATGTGGAGAATGAAGTTCCTGGAGAAATAAGTGAAGCGCCACTGGATCAGGATCAGGTGACTGCACTGGAGATGGTTTGCTCTAATGCCGTGACAGTCATAAGTGGCAAAGGTGGCTGTGGGAAGACCACAATTGTTAGCCGTCTTTTTAAGCATATAGAGCAGCTGGAAGAAAGAGAAGTAGAAAAAGCTTGTAAGGATTTTGAGCAGGACCAGGATGTGCCAGCAGAGTGGAATACTTTCACCGAGGAAAGTCTACCGAAGACAGACCGGGCCATAGAAGTTTTACTTACAGCACCTACGGGGAAGGCTGCTGGTTTACTGAGACAGAAAACAGGTTTACACGCCTACACGCTGTGTCAGGTAAAAGCTCTCTAGTTTTTCTACAGTTGAAAACATTTACCTTAAAGAACCAGGGGGTGGGGCTGGAGCAGTAGCACAGCGGGTAGGGGGTTTGCCTTGCTGTGCAACGCGGCCGATCTGGGTTCAGTTCCTAGCATCTCATATGGTCCCTTGAGCACCGCCAGGAGTAAGTCCTGAGCACATGTGCCAGTAGTAACCCCTGTGCATCGCCGGGTGTGACCCAAAAAGCAAAAATAAAAAAAAAAAAAAGAACTAGGGGCAGTGGTGGAGGAATATTGGTACCTTGGTGACGTTTAAGTAACAGTAATATTGTATGCTTAAAGCTTACAGTACTAATAATATTGCAAGCAGTTTACTTAAAAGAAAAACATTTATTTTCTTTTACAATTTTTTTTATAAAATCACCATGAAGTAAAGTCATCCATGACTGAGTTTCAGTCCTCTAAGGTTTGAGCACCCATTCCTTCACCTGTGTCCAATTCCCTCCACCTCTGTGCCCAGCTTCCTTCCTGCCCTCCAGCCTGTCTCAATGACAGATATATAATTTTTCTTTTTTTCCTTTTAGGCATTGTAGTTTGCAGTACTGTCACTGAAAGCATATTGTATACATCACTTTTATCTCCTTTCAGCACCCAGTTCTTGTCCAGAGTGGTCACTTCCCACTATCCTTGTCATAGTGATCCCTTCTCTGACATACCCCCCCTCCCTCCCCTTGCTCCCTTGTGGCAAGCTTCCTACTGAGGACCTTGCTTCTATTGTCTTTGGGTATTATTCTCCTGCTATGTTTCTTTGGGGCTGGAGCGATAGCACAGCTGGTAGGGCGTTTGCCTTGCACAGGGCTGACCTGGGTTTGATTTTTCTGTCCTGTCCCTCTCGGAGAGCCCGGCAAGCTACTGAGAGTATCCCACCCATGCAGCAGAGCCTGGCAAGCTCCCCGTGGCATATTCTGTAGCACTGTGCTCCCGTTGCTCATCGATTTGCTCGAGCAGGCCCAGTAACGGCTCCATTGTAAGACTTGTTACTGTGTTTGGCATATCGAATACATCACGGGTAGCTTGCCAGGCTTTGCCGTGCAGCGAAATACTCTTGGCAGTTTGCCGGGCTCTCCGAGAGAGGAGGAGGAATCGAACCCAGCTCGGCCAGGCCTGCGGCTTGCAAGGCAAGCGCCCTACCACTGTGCTATTGCTCCAGCCCGTGGCGTATTTGATATGCCAAAAACAGTAACAACAAGTCTCACAGTGGAGACGTTACTGGTGCCTGCTCGAGCAAATCAATGAACAATGGGAGGACAGTGCTACAGTACAGTGTTTCTTTATAACCCACAAATGAGTGTGATCATTCTATGTCTGTCACTCTCCCTCTCATTTCACTCAGCATGATACTCTCTAGCTCTGTCCAAATTTCATGACTTCACTTAAGAAACATCATAAAGACAAACTTGTTTTAAGTTTTGATGGTCCCCCAAACAGAAGTACTATGATCTATAATACTGTTAATGATGGTTCATGCGTACTTAGTTCCAACACCACATCCATCTCCAGAGTTCCCCTTCCCTTCACCAGTGTCCAAAGACCCGGCACACACACCCATCTTGGATTATTGGCCAAGGACACTTAGCTGTAAGGCTCTTTTGCAGTAGTTTCCATGACACAGATGGAGCCAAGCCTTGAATTGGAGCATTATAAGCACTGAAAAGTAAGAGGCATTTCTATGATGACTTCCTGGATATATAGAATAGAGGGAATAGTGAGTCAAATGTTCTCTTGCGAGACAAGGCCACTGAGAAAAATAGAAGTTTGCTGAAGGGAATTGGTGCATTTGGGTGGGAAATATGAAGGATTTTTATTTAACAAACATGTTGAATCCAGGTTCAACAGAAAAAGATACGATACCACTTAAAACTTTGTCCAGAAGATCTATGTTAACATCAGAAATATGGAAGGATATGCAACAAAATAGTGTTCTTTGGTTATAATTTTATGCTTTTTTTTTTTTTTTTTTTTTTTTTTTTTTGCTTTTTGGGTCACACCTGGCGATGCACAGGGGTTACTTCTGGCTCTGCACTCAGGAATTACCCCTGGCGGTGCTCAGGGGACCATATGGGATGCTGGGAATCGAACCTGTGTCGGCCGTGTGCAGGGCAAACGCCCTACCCGCTGAGCTGTCTCTCCAGCCCCAATTTTATGCATAATTTTTCTTCATCTAAAAGTATATATGCATATATATTTTAGTTTAGTTTAGGTAACTGGTTTTCAGTATTGTTGACATTTATGGTTTTGATGTACAGATACCTTACTTGACCATCACCAGTGGCCTAATGCTACTTCTGGTCCTCTTTATTCTCCCCTCCCCTTCCCCATCTCTATTTTTAAAGTAGTAAATACTATTACATCTTTTAAAAATGGTTTTATTTTTGTTTTGTTTTTGGTGGTGGTAGTAGCGGGTTTTAAAAGTTTAGGAAGAGAGTTTAGGGAACTAGGAAAAAAAAAGAGTAGTATTTGCATAAGATTGGAAAGGCAGCCCTTTATTTTTAGAATGGAGTGTTGTAGGTTGGGAGGTCAGGAGCTTAAGTGATTGGGCTTTCTTAAAGGCCAAGAGAAGGTATTTTGGGAACGGAAAAGAATAGGAAATTTTTTCTAGTCTGACACCGTAGGAAACATGTTGAAGACTTACTTTACAGTGTGGTAGTGCTGAGTTTTAAGCTTATTGCCTGAAACACACTAAGTACTCATTAGGAAGGACAATTTAGTGATTTGATCTATTTTTATTATTTTTAGCTTTATTTGCTACATCTTTTCTGTGTATTCATCCTTTAATTCTTGTGTTCTGTTTTCTTTAAAAAATTGCTTATTATAGTTTGGGTGACATGCTTAAGATAGTGTTGACTCTTACTTTTTTTGATGTACTTAGCTACCTCTACCCCACTGAAATGCCCCAAACCTTTGACTGCCAGTATAATATCATATTATCCCCAGTCTGCTCCTCATTCCTAGTACTCCCTACCCCTATTCCCTATTCCCCTCCTTCCTTGGCATTCTCATTTCTGTAATCCAGGACAAGGGTCTGCCATCCTTTAATACTTCCCATTCCTTTGTCTTGTTACTCTGAATACCATAGATAAGTGAGAACATTCAATATTTGTCTTCCTTCCTTCCTTCCTTCCTTCCTTCCTTCCTTCCTTCCTTCCTTCCTTCTTTCCTTCCTACCTTCCTTCATGTAAGATAATATTCTCTAGTTCTATCCACATTGCAGGGAACTGCATGGTTTCATCTTTTCTTGTGGCTGCATAGAATTTCATTGCATATGTATACTACCACTTCTGTATCCATTTTTCTGTCATTGGACATTTGGATGGTTTCCATATCCTGGTTTCTGTATTCTAAGCACTACCATGAACAGAGATGTGCGTTTACCTTTTTGGATCTTTTTTTGGGGGGGCGAGGGGGCATTTTTTGTTTCTTTAGCTTTCTACCTACATCTCTTCCCCTCTCCCATTTAATAGTTTTGATTAAAAATGCATGTTGTTAATTTTCTAAATATATTTTATCACCTGAATTTAGACATGTCATTCTTTGTAGGTCAATTATAGCTTCTATTTATGGAAGAAAAAACAAGAGACTAAAAACAGTCCATGGAAATTTGCTTCTGTTAGAGTTCTGGTTATGGATGAAGGGAGTTTGGTGTCTGTAAGAATCTTCAAGTCGGTTTTGAGTTTATTGTGTGAACACTCCAAACTTTCTAAGCTTATTATCCTTGGTAAGTTAAAATACTGTTCTATAGTGAAAAGTACAGTAGTTAGCCAGTTGTTTTTGCCATTTTCCTGATTTTGTGTCCTTTTCCTAAGGTGAGTCGCCATTTCTCACAGCCCATATTCAGGCTCTGAGTTCAGGCCATTCTTTTCCTTATTGGCTTGCAGGGTCTTTGCTTTGGCCGTGTATCAGCGTGCCAGGGATGTGAATAAAATACTTCAGGGTTAGTGCTAATCACCCAAGTGATGACAATTAAAATAGTGAAAATGTCACAGATCCAGAGTAAATCAGCATGTAGACTCTTGGAAAATCGTATTTTTTTTTAAAAAAATCGGATTTATAGGTCGCTTAAAAGTATTTTATGATTTTAAGAGGTTTTTCAAGGTCTAATTTGGGTTATTGCCAAATTAAACCTTGCAGACCTCTTAAGTCCTTTCCAATTCTGGCAAGGTACAGTTAAAGGAATAATAATAGTTACCTGTAAACCATAAGATTTCATGAAGAAAGCATAGAATTGTATTAGTAAAGTAAAGGCCCTCCCGTTGATCGTCGATTTGCTCGAGCGGGCCCAGTAACGTCTCCATTGGAGACTTTGTTGTTACTGTGTCTGGCATATCGAATACCCTGGAGCCCTGGAGCGATAGGGCTGGAGCAATAGGGCTGGAGCGATAGCACAGCGGGTAGGGCGTCTGCCTTGCACGTAGCCAACATGGCCGACCCGAGTTCAATTCCTCCGCCCCTCTCGGAGAGCCCGGCAAGCTACCGAGAGTATTCAATATGCCAGACACAGTAACAACAAGGTCTCCAATGGAGACGTTACTGGGCCCGCTCGAGCAAGAATTGTATTAGGAGAATCAAATTGTATATAATTTTTTTTGGTATTTGAGGATATTTTCTGAGCAGTTAATTCTAAATGGCTTAAGGGTTTCTCTGTTTCTACTAAGTAAATATTTACCTTCTCTTTAAATTTGTTAAAATAAAAAAAGATTTTTAGTAGAGTACAACATTATTATTGCCTTACTGGGATTTATCAGTTATGAAATGTACTGATACAAACACATTATACATACAGGTATTACTCCCAGCTCTGCACTCACGGATCATTCTTGGTGAGGTCGGAGGGAGTGGTGATGGCGGGGGACACACACACACACACACACACACACACACACACACGACCATATGGAGTGCCAGGTGTGAGTTCGAGCGTGGGTGCATTCAGTGGCCGAGAACCATTCCCCCAGCTGGCCAAACAAAGGAGTAACAGAATGGAATGGGCCAAAGGCTGGTTGGTAAACAGTGACCATTCATTCAAATCTCACAGCTTTAGTTACAAGAAATCATGAAGGGTACGCATAGGTGTGGCTGAACATTATCATAATATAAACAGATAAAAGGCCCCTCCTTCAAGGGAAGTTCTTCTAGGAGATTGATATCGGTCACAGTCCTCCCGTTGTTCATTGATTTGCTCGAGTGGGCCCAGTAACGTCTCCATTGGAGACTTTGTTGTTACTGTGTCTGGCATATCGAATACGTCACGGGGAGCTTGCCAGGCTCTGCCGTGCGGGCGAGATACTCTCGGTAGCTTGCTGGGCGCACCGAGAGGGGTGGAGGAATCGAACTCGGGTCGGCCATGTTGGCTGTGTGCAAGGCAAACGCCCTACCGCTGTGCTATTCTCTGGTTTTTCTAGGAGATTAACTCGGAAAAAAATTTCATCTGAGATACACTGAAGGGCAGAATTCCATCTAAGGGACTATTGCTTTTTCCTTTCCTTGGCTAGTAACCCATTTAAACAGTCGCATTAAATTTACTTCTGACTAATATTTCTAGTCATTTTGTATGAACACATTAAGAGATACATTAAGCTTAAAGGGTGGTTCTTCCTGGGGACATCTTGCTCTATATACCAGTCTGCAGGCCTGGTTAGTCTTCCCTAACCCCAGCAGGGTCCTTGCTCAGTTATTTCTTTTTGGGTTATGACAGAGTTTGTTTCATGACCATACTCTTAACCATGCTCTTAACTTTTTATACCTTTAATGACACTTGGCTTGCCCCTTTTCATTGCCAGGGTAGCTTGCGGCTTGCCCTGGGTCTATCCAGGTCCTTCACTGGGACCTTCCTTTTGGGGGTGTTAGAGCAACTGAGGCTTAAGTCAAATAAATATGATGGATGCCCAGGAGTAAGTATTATTCAGAGTCAATTAACTCCTATGTTAGCATTAACTGTCTTCCTGTGTTCTATACAAAAAGGACATTGCTCTAAAATAAACTATGCAAAGGACATAAAGGAAAGAGAAAAGCAATATTTTACTTACATATACCAAATCCAGAGCCCTCAGAAGAATTTAGCTTTTCAAGTAACAGGGTCTGATTTGGGGATAAGTGATTAACAGATAGGGGGAAAGAGCGCTAATGAGAGGTTCAAGATGAACTCAGAGGATTGGGAGTGCTTGATGGGAATTGGTTGTGCCTCGAGAGCACTGTGATGGGAGTAACGCAATACAACTAAGCTCTCTGGGGAGGAGCAAGGACAAACGAATGTTATCAAATACCAGGGACTGAACCAGGGTCTGCTGGGTGCAAGCAAACACTCTAACCACGAACATTATATCACTTCAGCCCTTACTCCTCTTTTTTTTTTTTTCCCTTTTGCCTTTTCGTGCCACTCCCGGCTCAGGGGTTATGCCTGACTGTGATCAGCGATTATTTCTGGCTGTGCTCAGAGCACTACGTGGTACCAGGGATCGAACTCAGATTGGTAACAGGCAAAGCAAGCACCTACTGTAGTATCGCTCTGGCCTCCATTGACCTTAATATTCCTAAGTAATTTTAAAGTAAGACTTTTGGGAGCTTTTTTCTCAGTTAAAGCAAATCTTTATAATGTGTATTGATACAGTGAAATAAAATTCATTTCTAAATTTCAGGACCCCAGGTGTCAGAATCTTTTTCTCTTTTTTCTTTCCTATTAGGTGATGTTAGACAGTTACCTAGCATTGAACCTGGTAACCTGCTGAAAGATCTTTTTGAGACTCTTAAGCCAAGACACTGTGCGGTTGAATTAAATACAAACCACAGAGCAGAATCTGAGCTAATTGTGGACAATGCTACAAGGTATTTGCACTTTCTGTTGTATTAAAAATAAAAGGTGAAAAATGTGAATCCACTTTGAATTAAGTGAGTTGCTGCAGTCCATTTACTGTGCCCTTTCAGCAAACTTGTCATTTGATGTAAACTTTTTTGCCTCTTCATTAGGAAAAAAAAGGTTAATTTTTTTCATTGCATGTGTAACACAAATTATTGAAATTTGAAAATGAATGTGGCTTTCTAATAATATATATATGAATTAAAGTTACATTAAGTTTTGAGACAGAGACTTGAAAATGAGTTCATTAGAAATCAAGGAAGAGGAATGGAGCAATATTATAGTGGGTAAGGCACTTGCCTAGCATGCTGATAACCTGGATTGGATCCCCCGTGCACTGCCAGGAGTAATTCTTGAGGGCAGAGCCAGGAGTTAATCCTGAGCATTGCTTGGTGTAATCCCAAAACAACAAAAATCAAGGGAGAACTAGGGAGGAAGTTTCCTCTAAATTTTGTAGGGGAGTCTGAAGCAAAAAAAAAAAAATTTGAAAAGGAAAGAATAAAGTTCTTTTATACCTTGGTGAATCCATATGAATATGGATTCTTTAACTATCTCTCTGGCCCACTCATATGTCTCTTTGTTTTGTTTTGTTGGTTGGGGGTAGGCGGAGTGGCGGGAAAGCACACCCAGTGGTGCTCAGAGCTTGACTTCTGGCACTCAGAGATCACTCTTGGCGGAGCTTGGAACCATATGGGTGCTGGAAATTGAACCCATGTTGGCCACATACAAGGCAAGCTCCCTACTCTTTGTACTATGTCTCCAGTCCCTATTTTATCTAACTTGCTAGTCTTGGAACATCCAGATCATAAAAAGGATGAGAAGGGAGTGAGAGCAAAGAGAACATATGGATATTATTAATGATATGAGTCTGAATTGATAAGCATAGCATGGGATTAGTTAATTCTATTTTAAATCTTATTTACTATTTCAAAATACATATCTGGGTTGCTTTTTTGCCCTGTTATCTGTTAATTGATACCACTGTAATGGCATAACTGGTCGCACAGGAAGATGCATTTTAAGATACTAATGTCCTTGGTGTATTATTTTAACTTTCAGAATCTCAAGACGCCAGTTTCCAAAATTTGATGCTGAGCTGACTATTTCTGATAATCCAATATTCCCTGTCTCAATTCAAGATAAAACATTTATTTTTGTTAGACTCCCAGAACAGGATGCTGGTTCTCAACCATCAAACAGTAATCATCACTCTCGTAAGTATGAACTTCTATGATAATGTAGGGTTAACTATTTCATATGTGTTATATAGTTCTCAACTGTCTAGTTGTAGCTTTATTTGATGATAAGGTAAACACTGGCATAGAAACATTAGGTACTTTGTTTCTGGGCCACACCTGGCGGTACTCAGGAATTACTCTTGGCTCTGCACTCCGAACCTGGGTAACTAGTGAGGCAAGAGCACTACCCATTGTACTGTCTCTCCAAGCCCCTCAGTAAATATTTGTTGAATGAATAAATTAGGTAGATGATTCGTTTACAATAAAGCCAAGTCCCAGTAGCGCTGTCTGTAGCACTGTCCTCCCATTGTTCATCGATTTACTTTAGCAGGCACCAGTAACATCCGCACTGTGAGACTTGTTACTATTTTTGGCATATTGAATACAACACGGTAACTTGCCAGGCTCTGCCATGCAGGCAGGATACTCCCGGTAGCTTGCCAGGCTCTCAGAGAGGGATGGAGGAATCTAACCTAGGTTGTCCGCGTGCAGGGCAAACACCCTACCTGCTGTGCTATCGCTCCAGCCCCAGTAACCCTAGTTTATTTAGGAGAGGGGGCCAGAGTAATAGAACAGCAAGTAAGGCGCCTTGCATGCTGCTGAACAAAATTCGATTCCTGACACCCACTAATGGTACTCTGAGCCTGCCAGTATTCCTGAGTGAAGAAATTCCTGACTAGGAATAACCCCTGAGCACTGCTGAGAATGGGATCCACCCTGAAAAAACCTAAACCAAGTTTATTCAGGAGAAAGCATGCCTCAATTCCTGTGAGGTTTTCCTTTTACTGCAATTTGGAAAGGAAATAAACTTGGTAGATTGGGGGGTGGGGGTGGGTGTGTAAACATAAAAGGACAGCAGTGAGCAGTGATCTATCTCATCCACGTCCCCCCTCCCTCCACGTTCGGTAGTCCCAGACCGTTTCCCCACTCCAGGGAGGTCGATGGCGATGGGTAGGCGGAGGAAGGAAACGAGGGCCAGGCTGGTTGGTCTTAGTTGCAGTTTATTCCAATCCTCTCTCCATTCACTCCTTCCTCTCCTCTGCCTCCCCCAGCCCACTCTTACAGTCTCATTTATGTCATGGAGGGCCCAGGTTCTTTCAGACCTGTGACCCCCAGGTTCTCTCAAGTCTGTGTTTCCCTGGTACTCTCAGGCCTGTGTTCCCCAGATTCTCTCAGGCCTGTGTTCCCCCCCAGAGAGCCCCGAAATCTCCTTTTATTGATCATGGTACCTCTCAGGGGCGCAATACAGTGATGTCATCAAAAGGAGTTACAGGAAGAACATTGAGGCAGCAAAACATACACTGTTTCTTTGCATCTGCAGGCCAGTAATTTTGGCCTCCGGAAAGAAGATACAAAACCAAAACTGAAACCTTTCTTGAGCTACTAGCACTTGGATTTGCATCCCAAAGACTAGTCTGGCTAGAGCCTGGAATCTACATTCCAAAGATCAGGCCTGGCTAGCACCTGAGATCTGCATGTCAAAGATCAGCCTGGTTTCTGTGAGAAAAGGAAAACTGCCTCTTAAAATAAACTGAAATTATTTACTTAAGGCAGTTTGAAAGGGAGAAACGGTTCAGCCTCATCCAAACTAGTCAGGACACATGGGAAAGCCCCGCTTCCAGGACAGATTCTCATTTAGCAGATCAACCCACCCTAGAATGGAGTCCCCTGGGTATGTTTCTCCTCTCCTATAAGCATACATAATGTAATCATTTTGTATGGACACAGTAAGAAATATCTTAAGCTTATAGAATTGCTCTCCTAGGGCCATCTCGATCTCAGACTACAGTGCTCAGGCCAGATAGTCTTTGCTATCCCTAGCAGGATCCTAGTCTCATCATTACTTTTGGATCATGACAGCACTTGCCTATGATCAAACTCTTAACCTATAGTTAAGAATTGTGGCACTTTGGCCTGGCCCATCTCGATGCCAGGGTAGCACATAACTTACTGCTTGCCCTGTTTCCATCTCGTTGCGACCCTGCTTTTGGGGATGCTAGGAAGTGAGGGCAACTGAGGCTTAAATTGAGAAAGCAGATGCCCGGAAATGAATAATATTCAACGCCAATTAAATCCTAATTTACAAAGTATAATATTAACTGTCTTCCTGTACCTATGCAAAAAGGACATTGCATTAAACTATTCAAAAGACATAAGGAGAGGAGAAAGGCAATATTAACTTACAAGTTCAGTGTCCTAGAAGGATCTGACCTTACAAATTAACAGATTCCGATTAGGGGAGAAGTTGATTAACTGGTTGGGGAAGAGAGCACAAAGAAGTGGTTACAGACAAAAGGAATGGGAGCACTGTGATGGGTATAACCTGATAAACCTAAGCTTTTTGGCAAGGGAGAAAGAACAAATCAATTGTTATCCTACAGGTGGGGGCAGGGAATAAAGTTTGACTGTCAAACTGTTACCAAGTTCCTACCAGTTCTGTTTTACTGCATGGAAAGCATGTTCTGGGTGATGGCAATTTGAGGGAGATAAGAAAATGCATGGTTTAGGAGTCTGCGCCCTTCACACTTGCCTTGGCACTCTGCCATTAGGAAATGAAGAGCAGAGAGACATACTGTGAGTGCTGAGGGCATTCAGCATGTTGCAGGCACTGTATGTATGTTGATTTCTTGTGAATAATAGTATTAATTTATCTATTGCAAATGAGTTTACTTAAATAGATTCAACCTTTTGATCTTTATTTGTATTATAAACTCAGCAAACTTCTTAAAAACAGCATATTGCTTTATTCAAAATTGAATTAGTGAAGATTTAAATTGCTATTACGAGAAGGCCAGGATATGGCTCTGTAGTGGAGAGCATGTGCCTTGCATGTATAGGGCTCTGGGTTCTATCCCCATTACCGAAAAGAAATTATGAGGACTTAATGCAGGTGCTGCAGTTCTTAAAGGTATATATCTTTCCTACTTAGCTGTTTTCACTATTGTGAAACTAAATGAAATGCAGTTATATTTTTCTCCTCTGTCATTAGTCTTAGTTCCTTTAGTTAGTGACCATTCACTTGTTACCATTTTGGTTTTTCATTTTAAATGGGATCACATAAATGCATCGTATTTTATAACATGCTTTTTTTTTTTTTGGTTATGGGAACAATTTATGTTCCTTAAGTAAATTCAGATAAATCAAAAGTGTTTGAAGTAAAAATTAGTATTTCGCAGTACACATCCTTTCATGGCTGGAGCCCGGCAAACTGCCAAGAGTATCTCGGCCACACGGCAAAGCCTGGCAAACTACCTGTAACGTATTCGATGTGCCAAACACAGTAACAACAAGTCTCACAATGGAGACGTTACTGGGCCCGCTCGAGCAAATCGATGAACAACGAGAGGACAGTGACAGTGACGACAGTGACATCCTCTCAACCATCAAAAATTCATAAAAATAATGTACACAGTCAGAATTGGGAATTCTATTTTTTAAAACATTATGTTATCCTTATATGAACATTATTTGTTTTGAATAAATTGGATTATAAGTTACCTAATATTTAAAAATTTTTAAATTAAATACATTGAAATAATTAATAGCTTATAGTTTTCTTACACAGTGATCTGAATACTAGACAGTGCTAACATAGATGGAGAAAATGACTCTCAAATGGTTATAAAACTTGCCTTATTGGCCATTTCATTTAGATGTACATAAAACATAATTAATTTTATATGTTGCTTCCATTCATTACATTAATGATATTGTATAGTTTTTTTAAAAATGTTATCCATTTTGAAATGGCAGCAGAGTTTAACTGCTGCTGTTTTTTTTTTTAATCTTAATTAAAATTTTCCTCTGGAAAATTAGTCTCTAAGAGAATTGAATTAATACTCCTTAGAGAGAGAGGTATATAGTACTTTTTCATTAAAAATTGATTACTTTGAGTAAATTACACTCATTATCGTATAGTACAGAGACCTAAGACAGCTTTTATCATTGCGATAGCATTGTTAAAGCATGAGGAATGTGTTATCCTAGAATCAATGAAATATAATGTGTGTATTGATCTCTGAGATCTAGAGAGAGTGGAAAAGTCAAGGTGCAAGAACAGCACAATTCTGTACCTATGAAAGAAAACAACATTTTGTAAAGGTTGTCCTTTGGAGTTTCCTATACCAGATCAACAAAGGTTGGGTGGGGGCGAACTGAACCTTAGGCAGGTTTTAGTAATAATCTTCGGTTCATCTGAAAAATTAAGGGCTCAGCAGAGTAACTAATTTAGTTTTCCTAGAGCAGGGTTTTTCATTTCTCTGTGATTCATCTGCTATGAGGGAAGGCCCAAAACTGGAATGGGGGTCAGCTGCATTCAACGCAAGAGCCTTAGTCCCTGTACCTCTGGCCCAGGGTTAAACTTTGAATTGCCTAATCAAGGGGAGGTCTAGGAGTCCTGGGGTGAGGCAAGAATTGATTGGAGTGAGGGTGGAACACTGAGGCTTGGGAAAGTAGCTACTTCCTGGCAATTACCTCCCTGTTTTAAATTGATTTGTATCAGCTAAGTATGACCCTGGATATAATAATATCAGCCTCAGGGCTCAAAAGATAGTACAACTGATAGGGCACTTGCCTTGAATGCTGTGGATCCAGGTTCAATCACTGGTATCCCATATGATCCCCAGCACTGCCAGGAGTAATACCTGAGTGCACAGCCAGGAATAAATAACACCTGAGCATCCCTGGATGTGACCCCAACACTTAAAATAATAATAATAATAATAATAATACCAACGTAGGGCCAGAGCAATAGTATAGTGGGTAGGGCGTTTGCCTTGCACGCAGCTGACCCGGGTTCATTCCTCCGCCCCTTTTGGAGAGCCCGGCAAGCTACTGAGAGTATCCTGCCCACACAGCAGAGTCTGGCAAGCTCCCCGTGGCGTATTCGATATGCCAAAACCAGTAACAAGAAGTCTTACGTTGGACACATTACTGGTGCCCGCTCGAGCAAATCCATGAACAACGAGAAGACAGTGCTATACAGGGCTAATACCTGCCTCATGAGTGTGGGAAAGATTTAATTAATATGCAAAGGATATAGATTCTTTTTTTTTTTTTATTGAATCACCGTGAGATAGTTACATGCTTTCATGTTTGGGTTACAGTCACACAATGATCAAACACCCATCTCTCCACCAGTGCACATTCCCTACCACCATCATTTAAGAATCTATATCCACCATATTGGTGGTGGATATAGATTCTTAAATGATAACTCATTAAAATTAGTTCCCCTATGTAATTCTGTCACTTGTCATTTTGTTCTTTTGCTCATTTTTAAAATCCAGCATTTACAAATGATCATTGAATATGAGCGATTAAATTACAGATAAGGTGCTTTCCTGGAGGGTGGTTAACTTCTTTGTTGAGGATGGAATGTCTGGAACCTTCTCTCCATTCTGCTCACTTGCCCTAGCTGACAGCAAATGTTGATGTTCCCAGGTTGAACCAACATTCCATTTGGTCAGGTGTTTTCCTGGACCCATCAGCAGAAAAATCTTGTGTTTCCCCCTAAAAACAGTGTCATAATGTAATCCTCTATGCTTTTTTCCCCTCTTGAATTATCAGATTTATATTCTGCGGTAACAACTTTACTCAAAGAAAGTGATCTACAAAATGCAAAAACATCACAATTTATTGCATTTAGAAGGTAAAACTTTTTTATAATATACCATTTTTTAAGTTAAGCTTTTTGTTCTCAAAATTTACTAATGTTGATATTTTCTGTGAATGAGAGACTCATCATTGATCACTCGGAACTGTCTTAATTTGAGGTATTTCTTTGTCAGTCTTGGCAGAGGACAGTTTCTAAACAGGGCTGTTTTTACCAAATAGTGTATTTGGAAACTCATGGGAAATCTGAGTTTATCAAAGATTTTTACTAAGATGAAAATGACAAGATTTGAAAAAAAAAAAGGACAAAATTGAAGATGCAGCTACATGCTTTGCATGTATGAGGTCCTGAACTCCACCAAAATACACAGACTAAAGATTTGAAAGTATTAGATTAGTAGTTCTCAACAACAACAACAAAAAGAATCATAAAATATTTCTTTTGGAGATAGTCCTGAAAATGTTGTATAATTGTTAATGATAGAAACTGACACATTCACAAAGGGGGCATGTCTACATCACCCTTGACCCCATCACCCTTGACCTCAGTATTTAGAGAGAAGATGGTCAGAGAGGAAAAGAAATCGGGGTGTGGGGGGGATGGAGAGGGGAGAAGAGAATAAGTAATGATTGAACAGGCATCAGGGCTTCAGTTATACCAGTGATGTGAGGGGTGTAGCCATAAACCCCAAAACACAGATTCAGCAAAACTGAAAACATGAGACCTAAGCAGCAGGCAAACTTTGTCTGTTAAATGTGTCTGTCAAGTTGACAGGTGGGGGTGGAGTGGAGTTGGGATGGGGAGGGAATCTGGGAACCCTGGTGGAGGGATTGAGGGGTTGGTGTTGGATTATTGTAGGCCCATAACTCAGTTATCAGCAACTTTGTAAATCATGGCTCTTTAATAAAAAGTTTAAAAAAAAAAAAAACAAAGAAACTGACACAAACGTGGCCATTGCTCATATGTTTCAGACAAGACTGTGATGTGATCAATGCCTGCTGCTGCAAACACTACACGGGCCGCCTCACCAAGTGAGTACTTTCAGGAATGGGGACTTGGAGGACATCCTTCCTGGTGTCGCTGTTCTTTTGTGTGTTTTGACATTTAGCATCTAGAGCCACAAATTAAGGGGTTTCCCCTCCTTATTTGTGAAATCTAATTATCTCTTCAACCTTACATGCTGTATGTCTTTAGAAATGGTTCAGTAGTCCATGTAGTAAGAAAAATAAGGGGTAAAGTCTTTGCAGTTTTCCAGGCTGCCTCTGTAGCTTATGCATGATGAACAGGGGACTCAGGAGGATTTTTCACTTGTGTTAGTGTGTCCAGGAACTTAACAACGGGCTGTCTGTAGAGAGCCAACTCAGTGAACATATATCAGAGAAATAGCAGTGTGGAAGTGTTTACACGGAGAGAAAATGAACTCACTTTTCAGGCCTTTATCAACACCTGCAGTTACTGAGTGCAGAGAACTGAGGGATGTGTATATAGTAGGAGAAATTAACTCCCTCTGTGATAAGGAAAGGCACAAAGACATATTAGGAAGCCTAACACAGTTAGGTCTAAACCACTGCGGCTAGGGCCAACCATTCTCAGTCCTTCACTGTAATCTTGGGAAGTTGATTTCCCCTTCCCATGTGTTTAAAGGAAAAATCCTCTTGTAGAATTACCTTCATAGAGTTGTCGTCAGAATGAAATGATGTAATTTACCCAAGACACTGTGATCGTGACTGGTGTAGCACTTAGCTTTCATTCCACTTGCTTCTCTAGTTCTGATATGGTGTCACAACTGTCTTCAAAGAAATATGTGTAAGTGCTATAATAAATAGGTCAGTGATAGAAAAAGCTGGAGAAGAAAAGGGATGAATTTAAACAGCCAAAACAAGAAAGATTTTTTGGTATCTTTGAGGATCTAGAGAGGATAAGAGAGGCATCCACACTTAGGCCTTGATGTCCAATTTGAAACATGGCTGGGAAGTACCATTGACTGCCCACTCAGTGTGTGGGCAGTCAGACTGTGCAGCTGGAGTCAGGATCCTTGCTGACAGTAGACAATAAACGGTGAAGAAGAGTGTGTAGAAATTATTTTGAGAGTTGTTCATACTATATGGGACTTAATCCTTAAAATAATATCGAGGGTTTCCGAACTTTTATACTGTATTATCATTTTCTAACCTAGAGACCACCGGAATAGATTTGAATTTGGAGTTGGTGACAAAATTTGTTGTACCAAGAATGCATATCTCTCCGATGTGCTCCCTGAAAGGACTCCCAACAGTCAGCAAGTTAATGAACTAGAAGCCAGTGGCAAAGACTTTCACAGTCCTCCTCATGGTTTTGCTAAAAATAAGCTTGACCTTGAAAGTGGTATTCGACTCTGCAATGGAGAAATATTTTTTATCACAAATGTAAGTAATAACAGAAAAGTGATGCCTTTTTACCTGTTAGTGATATTTTCTTTACTTGATTTTTTATTATCCTAGGATTGAGTCAGAGTCTAATCATATCAGTGTTGACATTTTCTCCCATTATTTTTTAATTTAAAAAAAATTTTTTTCATTAAAGTTGTTCACATTGATTACATTCAATATTTCAACACCAGTCCCACCACCGTTACTCCTTCCCACCACCATTATTTCATATTTTCCCACCACTGTTCAAAAAAAGAAACAAGGCAAATGACATAACGTATTTAGCAAAGCGCTATTTCTGTGATTACGGCTTACATATAGAAGTGTTCTCCTTGAATTTGTTCTCATTGTACAGACACCGTCTCAAACTATAATCTTCTTTAAAAGCTGTGAGGAAAAGGAAACCTCAATTAGTCACTTAATCACTTAACTTCCCGTTAGTCGTCGATTTGCTCGAGCGGGCGCCAGTAACGTCTCCATTTGTCCCTGTCGCGTGCTAGTGTAGCCCAATGGCATCTCTTCGCTCCGGGAACATGGAGGGCCTCAAACCAATCGTTCATGACCTTGACAAAGAAGTCTGACCATCTGGTAGGTGGGCGGCCACGCGGTCTCTTGACATCCCGTGGAATCCAATCAGTAACAGCTCTAGTCCAACGGTCGTCTTTAAATCTCATTACGTGACCAGCCCATCTGATTTTCGACACCTTGGCAAATGAGACAGCGTCCCTGATCCTTGATCGTCGACGGATGTCAGAACTCCGGATTCGTTCTCTCATTTGAGTGAAACGTGATATTCCAAGCATAGCTCTTTCTATTCTTCTTTGGGAGACCTGAATGGCGTTCTCATCTTGTTTGCGTAGGGCCCAGGTCTCTGAGGCATATGTTAACATATGCCTACCTCAATTAGTATATTCTGATTATATGGTTGGGCTGGAGTGATAGCACAGCGGTAGGGCATTTGCCTTGCACGCAACCAACATGGCTGACCTGAGTTCGATTCCTCCGCCCCTCTCGGAGAGCCCAGCAAGCTACCGAGAGTATCTCGCCCGCACGGCAGAGCCTGGCAAGCCACCCGTGATGTATTCGATATGCCAGACACAGTAACAACAAAGTCTCCAATGGAGACGTTACTGGGCCCGCTCGAGCAAATCGATGATCAACGGAAGGGCCTTTACCTTACCTTTACCTTATGGTTAGTGCAAGATGCATGACAACTCAGATGATTCTCATGGTTCTCCCTAGAATCAAACTAAAGGTTGGTTTCATAGAGCAAAAACTTCCATGTGTGTTCATTAAAATATTGGAAAAGAATTTATATTACAGTTTAGTTTGTGCTCATTATAGGTTTGATTTTACACTGGGGAGAGTTGGGCCGCACCTGGTAGTGTTCAGACAGCTTTTGGTTCTCTGCTCATGGGAATCTCCCTGTGACCATGTAGTGCTGGGCATCAAAGCATGTGCTCTGTCCACTGAACAATCTCTCTGGCCCTTGTATATTTTGCTCGAGCGGGCCCAGTAACGTCTCCATTGGAGACTTTGTTGTTACTGTGTTTGGCATATCGAGTACGTCACGGGGAGCTTGCCAGGCTCTGCTGTGCAGGCAAGATACTCTCGGTAGCTTGCCGGGCTCTCCGAGAGGGGCGGAGGAATCGAACTCGGGTCGGCCATGTTGGCTGCGTGCAAGGGAAACGCCCTACCGCTGTGCTATCGCTCCACTTTTTAAAATTTTTAGCGACTTATTGAACATACAAACTGTTTTTACTTACAAAGTATTGTGTTTTGCCTTGAATTCAAAGATACAATACCTTTACTTTGTTTTGGAAATAGGATATAACTGATGTTACTTACGCAAGGAAAAGATACTTGACCATTAATAACATGGTTGGCTTGGAAGTGACTGTGGATTTTCATAAGCTAATGCATCATTGTCACATAAAACATGCTTGGGCAAGAACTATTCACACTTTTCAGGTAAGAATGCTCTTTAAAAAATGATTTAAGTTAGTTGCCTCACTTCTTCCTAATTTCAGTTTCTTTGTTTTGTTGTTGTTGCTTTTCTTCTTGTTTTTTGTCCATCCCCTCCCCTTTCTTCTCCCCTCCTCTCCCCTCCCCTCTCTTTTTGGTGCCACACCTAACAGTGTTCTAGTGCTACTCCTGGCTCAGTGCTTCGGAGGTTGCTCCTGGATGTACTCAGGGGCCCATGTGGTGCTCCGGAAACCATGTGGTTCTGGGGATCCCACCTAGAGCGCTTGTATGCTATCAGTGTGCTCTAAGCCTTTGAGCTCTCTCCCCAGTCCTGCTTTTTCTTTTCTTAAAGTGGAAAATACATAAAAGTGCAGAGGATACTATGCAGAACTAACCTTTTGTTTGCTTCAGTGCTTTCTTTATTTTCAGTATCTAAGAGATTCAGATGAAAGCTAAGGCCTCCCCCTCCCACAGGGGCACAAGGGCAAGACTCATGGCTGAGCTTTCCTCTTGCATCAGGCTCTGGTGTTGCCGGACGTGACTTTCTTACCCAGCTTATCTTTACTTAAACTTTGCTATTTGGGCACTGGGAGGATGGCTCAAAGGCTGCTGAATGCGCTTTGCTTGTGGGAACCCGGAGTTCAGTCACTGATACCACATGGTTTCCTGAGTATCACCAGGAATGACTATTGAGCACTGAGCCAGTGAAAGCCCCTGAGTACCCCTGGTGACCCTAAAACTAAAATAAACAAAATGGATATTTTGTTCACTGTGGATATTTTGGGGGGCGGGTGTTTAAATACTTGTTTCTCAAAATAAAAAAATTATTTTTGGGGGGAGGGGTCACACCTGGAGATGCTCAGAGGTTAGTCCTGGCTTTGCACTCAGGAATTACTCCTGGTGGTGCTCAGGGGACCGACCGACCATATGGGATGCTAGGAATTGAACATGGGTCGGCCGTATGCAAGGCAAATGCCCTACCTACTGTGCTGTTGTGCCAGCCCCAAACATTATTTATTTTAATTGATTTCTTTTGATTTCTTGGCTATCTCTTAAATCTTATGCCTGAAGCAAGTGCCACATCCGCCTTCCCCTTGCGTGGTTCTTCCCGCTCTCTAGTGACTTTTGGAACAGGGAATGTGGCTCAGAGTGGAATGTACAAGCTCTACAAGTGCAAGGGCTTGAGTCTTGTCCCTGCCACTGCATATCTCTCCATACCCTGCACTGCTGGGCATAGCACCCACAACTGAAAAACCAAAAAAGTCCAGATTACTTCTGACCTGAGCCTGTGCATTCATAGAGAAGCAAGGTTACCAAGGTTTCTATAAGTGGTAATATATAGTTTATGTATCTTTGCAACTTGATTTTTCTTTTTGCTTAATCAGATTTACTGGGAGTATAATTTGTATCACTGTCACTGTCCTCCCATTGTTCATCGATTTGCTCGAGCGGGCCCAGTAACGTCTCAATTGGAGACTTTTGTTGTTACTGTGTTTGGCATATCGAATACATCACGGGTAGCTTGCCAGGTTCTGCCGTGCAGGCGAAATACTCTTGGTAGCTTGCCAGGCTCTCCGAGAGGGGCGGAGGAATCGAACTCGAACTCGGGTCGGCCATGTTGGCTGCGTGCAAGGCAAATGCCCTACAGCTGTGCTATCGCTCCAGCCCATAATTTGCATATGCATTTAAATTATAAAGTTGGGTGAGTTTTGACAAATGTATATCTCTTCCTCCCCTTCTGTGGAAACTTCTATTTATCAGGTTAAAGAAAAAAAAAAACGTACTTTATTCCTTTATTTTATTGGGATGCTCCCCTACCAGTGCTCAGGGCTTTCTCTTGGCTCCGTGTTCATGGTCCACTCCTGGTGGTGCTTGGAGGACGTATATGTCATGCCAGGGATTGAACCAGGATCAGCCACGTGCAAGATAAGCTCCTTACCGCCTGCACTCTCTCTCTTCAGCATCTCAACTTCTCTTGGGGGGTGGGGGTGGAGGGCACATCTGGCTGTGCTCACGGGTTATTCCTAGCTCTGCACAGGGATTATTCCTGACATTGTTCAGGGGACCCTATGGAGTGCCAGGGATCGAACCTAGACCAGCAGCATGGAAGGCAATTACTTTATCCATTGTACTATCTCTTTGGCCCCCTGTTTTTATTTGGAAATAATTTTAGATTTATAGAAGAACTGGGGAAATAGATTAGAGATTCCCTCATTCCCCCGCCCCAGCCTTTTTCAATTTTAACATAAAACTATGACTTACTTGTTAAAACTAAGGAATTACTGTTGGTGCAATTCAGTTAGATTCTTCCTTCACTTTAACCAGTATTTTCACTCATGTTCTTTTTTGTGTGTCAAGATTTAATCCTTGACACCATATGGAATTTAGTAAGAGCAACATGCTTTTAAGCTCTGTACAAATACTGTTGATTTCTCTTAAATCAGATGTGACAGTGTTATTTATTTCATTGTTTTGGACTCCTTTTTCTGGTGTTGGCATGTTTAAGTGACAAAACTGCATTAACTTACATTTTGTCACGTCCTCTAAAGGTGGACGTTAGTTGGCATAGGTATTTTAGTGTTTGTTTTCAGGAGGGGACTCCAAACTGGTGCTCAGAAAATCTGAAGGAACTCAGGGATTTTCCGGGATGCCCCTGGAGATTCTTGGAAAACTGTGCGGAGCCAGGAATTGAATCTGAACCACACAAGTTAGACTTGCCGCGTTGTTTCCTGGTTCCACTAGGGTTATTTTTTGGTTTTTGGTTTTAATATAGCAGTTGACTTTAGTTCTCAAAATTACTTATCTTATTGAATCACAATGAATTGCAAAGTTATAAGTTATTCATGATTGAGTTTCAGCCATAGTGCCTCAACACCTTCCTTCCACCAGTGTCTCCAGTTTCTCTCCCCTCATTTCCCAGCTTGCCTTTATTCAGGCATCTTTTTTCTTTTTTCTTTTTTTTTTTTTGGGGGGGGGGCGGGGCTGAAGGGAAGTCACATGGCGATGCTCAAGGGTTACTCCTGGCTCTGCACTCAGGAATTACTCCTGGCAGTACTCGGGGGACCTATGGGATGCTGGGAATCGAACCCAGGGCGGCTGCGTGCAAGGCAAACTCCCTACCTGCTGTGCTTGCACTCCAGCCCTTTTTCTTTTTCTTTTCCTTCCCATTAGGCATGGTGATTTACAAGAACTTAAACTCCAATCTTTCAGTTCTGGGAAATGTTCTTTAAAAAATTATTTTAATTTATTTTGAAGTAAGAACAGGTTTTTATTTGTAGGTTTGGAGAGAGGGAGAGGGAGGGAGAGAGAGGGAGATGGGAGGAGAGAGAGAGAGGAAGAAGGAGAGGGGGAGGTGGAGGAGGAGAGGAAGGGGGGAAAAAGAGAGAGAAAGAAAGAAAGAGAGAGAGAGAGAGAGAAACATGGGCTTTTCCAGAGTGGAGAAAGAGCCCCAGTACATTAAAGTATGAAAGTACACGTGTCAAGATCTCAAGAGGGAACATGTATGTGGGCGACATGTGCTCATGTACCATGTACCCAGGCAGGCTACACGTTGTGCCTAAAATATTTTTATTCAGGTGTCTTGGGTGGGGATGTGACTCCAGCAATAGAGCCCTGTCTTATCTGTGCGACCCAGTTCCACCCCCTCTTGCACCCCACCCTGTGCCTCCAGCACTGCTCTATGTGCCACCCCCCACCCCAATTTTTTTCAAAATATTTTTTATGCTCAGTTTTCTGGTTTGATTTCCTAGAACTTAGCGGGATGCTGGCATTTCAGAACTGGTTTCCTTTTTTTTTTTTTTCCCCCCCTTTTCTTTCTCTTTTAAGTTTTTTGGTCACACACGGTAATGCTCAGGGCTTACTTCTGGCTCTGTGCTCAGGAGTTACTCCTGGAAGTTCTGGGGGAACCATATGGAATACTGGGGCTTGGCGCATGCAGGACAAGTTCCTTCCCCACTGGACTATCTCTCCAGCCAACCCCCTAAATTTCTTATCTTTAAATCTCTCCATTTTTCCATCTCATCATGTTGCTGTCTTCTGAGAAATTTTTCTCAAATTCATAGTTCAGTGTTCTTTCTGTTATATTTCTGGGCCAGTGAGTGAAGTGGTCTTTATTACTACTGGGTAGAGATTGGAGTAGTTATCGGGGTGCTCCTTTTATTGAGTCTGGCTCATATTTCGTGACTGAACAGCATCTCTTACCTCAGAGTGTTCATGATTGTTGTATTGGCAAGTTTGTTTCTTCCAAGTTCAGGTCAGCAAATAATGTATGAGTAGGTCTGTGCTCTTTGTGTTTGGGGCATGTCAGTCCAGAAGCAAAGAAACCTGGTGTTGTGTAGAGTACATACAGTTGGGAAGAGAATAGAGATAAAGACACCATTTTTAAAATAAGGTAAGCTTTATATATTGTATTAGCAGGTGATAAATGCTATGGAAAAGCTGTGGGGTGGAATATAATAGTAAATTGGGGGTCAGATTGGGCCTCATGGAGAAGGGGGCATGTTGAAGGAGATCAAGAAGTTAACCTTGTGAGTATGTATTTGGGAGAACATTATAAGCAGAGAGAATAGCAAGGCCAAAACAATTAAATTAATGCTTATCATTCATTCAAGGAGATACTGAATGAAAAACCACGACAAGAATATAAAGTCCTAATTTCACAGGACTTGTAGTCCAGTGAAGAAGGCAGATGCTTACATTCTGGCTGGTGAAAATTTAGTGATAGAGCTAAAACGAGGTTCTAGAAAATCAAGGATGGAACAGCGAGGTCAGATGGAGACCACGGACTGGGAGGGTGCTGGCAGGCACACACAGAAGCCCTTCTGCAGGATGGAGCATGGTTCCTGGGGAGAAGAGAGAGGGAGGGAAGCGTGGTCAAGATTTTCTCATGAAGAGCCAAATGAATGAGCCACAGTTCGGAGTTGGAACTTCATTTTGAGAGCTTGGAGCCATCAGTGGGTTTTAAGCACAAGTGTAAGTTTAGATATGCAGTTTAGAATTGGCACTGGGGCTTCTATCATGATTTGATTACATCAAGTGTGGACATAGGCAGGTTCTTAAATTTTTTTCCTAATGTTATTCAAATGATGACTAAGATCTCACCTAAAGGGGGAGCCTGGGGCACTTTGATGGTGGGGATATAAGGTGACTATACATCAAAACCATAACCATTGGCAATGTAGAGGTAGCATATTAGGCAAGGTGCTTGTCTTGTACGCGGCTGACCCAGGTTCCAAATCCAGCATCCCATCTGGTCCCCTGACCACTGCCAGGAGTGATTCCTGAGTGCAGAGCCAGGAGTAACCCCTGAGCATCTCCAGGTGTGCCCCCTTAGACCCCCTACACACACACACACACACACACACACACACACAAAGATCCCCAAACCATAAGCATTAATATTACCATAAACACATGGCCCAAACTGTAATTTTAAAGAGTGTGGTAAGGGAGTGGGGTGGGGTAGGGTGGAGGAAGGGCATCTGAAGACAGATGCTGACTCTGGTGGTTAGGTGTGGACCTGAAACATTATTACCCGAAGCTTTGTTTTTAACAGTATTATAAATCAAAATGACAAACAAAATTGGGAGTGGGGAGTAGGAAAAAACTATAAATCCAAAGGGAGAATTGGTGCTACCTATTAAGCATTTATACGATGGAATATCATTTAAGTTAATTTCCAAGATGCAGCGGCATTGGGGGAAGTGTTTATCACCCTTATTATCAGTGCTGTTGGCTTAAACTCTCTCTGGGGATACAGAAGTACTTGCTGTGAACAAGCTGTTTTTCATTTTTTGGGGTGAGAGGGTTGCTTTGTTTCTGACTGTAGATCTCTGTTTTTCTACGTGCCCTGTCTTGTCTTTTGTCTCTACCTGAGTTCTCTTTTGGCAGGATAATTGTGGGAACCTTGAGGGAGATTGTTCCTCCTAGATCTTGGCGCTGAAAAGACTGAGACTCCAAATAACTACAGAATTTAAAGTGTTTTTTAGTGTTACACGGTGACACTGAGCAGTCTCTTTGCTTGTTCGGGGTTTGCTATCCCTGGCTCATCGTTCTCTTTGTTTTATTATTTGTCTTGGTAACAGTAATAGTGGTTCAACAATGGAAAAACAGAAAAATAAGGGAAATATCATGCATAGGCCCTGTATTTGAAAACAAGCAGATTAAAATATAGGCAGAGTTTCCTTCCCCTTTTTTTATATGACTTATCTACGTATGTTCATTTATATACTTTTGTTTCCATTTATATACTTATATTCATTTTTTTAAATTTTTTTTTTTTTTTTTGCTTTTTGCGTCACATTCGGCGATGCACAGGGGTTGCTCCTGGTTCTGCACTCAGGAATTACCTCTGGCAGTGCTCAGGGGACCATATGGGATGCTGGGAATTGAACCCGGGTCAACCGCATATAAGGCAAATGCCCTACCCACTGTGCTGTTGCTCCAGCCCCTCATTTTATATTTTTTAAATGAGTTTATACATAGTTCTTTATATTTATATATATGGTTTAGGTCATATATATAAAGAACTATATATGTGGTCTATAAAATTTTGTTGTATGTTTGCAAAAATATCGGTATATCTAAATACTTGATGTATATAACAAACTCATAGGATGGAGATATCACGGTCATGGTCACGGTCCTCCCGTTGTTCATCGATTTGTTCGAGTGGGCCCAGTAATGTCTCCATCATGAGACTTGTTGTTACTGTGTTTGGCATATCGAATACATCACAGGTAGCTTGCCAGGCTCTGCCGTGCGGGCGAGATATTCTCGGTAGCTTAGAGATATATGTTAAATATGTATAAGTCTCAGAATTTATGCTATTTCATATGCAGTTTCATACAATATCGGATATTTCAAGTGTCTGTCTTGTTATGTAAGTGAGAGGGAGACATACATTTACACCTAAAATGCATATAATTGTTTCAGAAATCTTTTGTTGGGGGAAATTTATTTATTTATTTTTTTCTTTGCTTTTTGGGTCACACCCAGTGAAGCTCAGGGGTAACTCCTCCTGGCGGTGCTTGGGGGACCATATGGGTTGCTGGGAATCGAACCCGGGTAGACCGCATGCAAGGCAAGCACTTTACTCGCTATGCTATCACTCCAGCCCCTGTTGGGGGAGATTTAGAAGTAGCTGCACAGAGGGCCAGCGATGTAGCTCAGCGCCAGAGTGCCCGTCTTGCATGCAGAAGGACTGGGTTCAGTTCCCTGGCACTGCGAAAAGAATTAAGAAACTGAAAAATGCGGGGCTCGCAGGTACCATGAGGTTCCCATGCACTCACTGCCGGGGTGGCAGGTACCCTGGAGCCTGAGCCCGTTGCTCTGTGTTAAGTCTCCCAATGCTGTGTCCCCTGCAGGGCTCGGAGGAACAGACCGTCGTGTATGTGGTGGGCCGGGCGGGCCGCCAGCACTGGCAGCACGTGTACACGGCGGTGACCCGGGGCCGCCGCCGAGTCTATGTCATTGCCGAGGAGTCTCAGCTCCGCAGTGCCATCGCCAGGAACAGCATCCCCAGGAAAACGCGTTTGAAACACTTTTTGCAAAGCCAGCTGTCTAGAAACTGTGCCTCTGCGGCTGCAGGCGCCGCCTCCGCGTCAGAGAGCTCGGGGGACAGCGTAGGACCCAGGGGCACAGGGGATAGTGGGGGGCCCGGGAGCACAGGGGACAGTGGGGGGCCCGGGAGCACACCACCGCCAGCCTCACCGATCCCCAGCACACCGCCGTCCCGTTGGCCCCCTGCAGTCGCCGCCGATGCCAGGCCCAGCGGTGTCCCCGGGTCCTTACCACCCGGGGACCTGGACGAGATGTTCCCTTTTGCTGAAGGATGGAGGTGGCCTGCGCCCAGTGACGTGGGTTCAGATGAGGATCTTGCAAACTCTCGAGTGTCCAAGAGAACCGCGGGCACAGATGACGATGCAAGTCCCAACAAAATCCAGATGGTAAGACTGAGCCTGCAGCGCGCTCAAGTTCTCCTTAAGCGATGCCGACTTTCCTGTCCTTGTCAAGAACTGGGCGCTGTTGGGACTGCTGCGCGCTGCTGCGGGACTCCACAATTAAGTGCTCCCTCACAGCTGCTCATGCTCCCACTCTGCTGCATCCTGCTGACCTCAGCTTAAGCCACATTGACCTTTCTGATGCTGCGGGAGGCTCGCACCCACGCAGCTCGCTTGTGCTGTTGGGAGTGTGCATGCCCAGAACAGTCTCCAGCCTGTGCCTTTCTCCCGAACGTCTCCTTTTACCCTTCAGGGGCCTACCTCTCACTGCTGCTTGTTCCTTATTTGTGGTTTCCTGGGCCACATCTGGCTGCCTGGACACAGCCACCTCCTCCATACAAAGCCAGGAGCATGGGCATGTGCCCCAGCCCGCTATCTCTCTCTCCCTCCCTCCCTCTCTTCCTTCCTCTCTCTTCCTTCCTTCCTTCCTTCCTTCCTTCCTTCCTTCCTTCCTTCCTTCCTTCCTTCCTTCCTTCCTCCCTCCCTCCCTCCCTTCCTCCCTCCTTCCCCTCCTCTTTCTCTCTCTCTCTCTCTCTCCCTTCCTTCCTTCCTTCCTTCCTTCCTTCCTTCCTTCCTTCCTCCCTCCCTCCCTCCCTCCTTCCCCTCCTCTTTCTCTCTCTCTCTCTCCCTTCCTTCCTTCCTTCCTTCCTTCCTTCCTTCCTTCCTTCCTTTCTTCCTTTCTTTCTCGGGTTTTTGTTTTGTTTTGTTTTGGGGCCACACCTAGCAAATGCTCAGGGGTTACTTCAGGCAGTACATGAGGGCCCATATGGGTGCCAGGGATCGAACTCCAGTCAGTTGCATGCAAGACAAGCGTTCTACCCACTGTACTATCTCATCAGCCCCTTTAATTTATTTTTTAATCATATAAATTTATAGAAATTATTTCAAAGTATGTTTTTAATACATTGCAATGAGACCTTAAAAAAATTGTACCATTAGAATATTGTTCTTTACTTAGAGCCCCCATGGTGCTCCACTCAGAATTCCTTGCAATCACTTTTGGTTCTTTTGACAGTTTAGAAGGGAAGCTGACTTCTACTGAACTGTACTTGGATCTTTAGAAATAACCCAAAGTCATTGATTTCTAGTTTTTTGAATTGGGTAGTACTACTTTTTTGTGTACAGTGGAGGGGGGCAGCCATAGTGCAGAGGGGTAGGGACTTGCCATGCACATATCTCCCCCACCCCCCGCCCCAACACCCCAAGTGAAAGGGGCATGCTATTGCACAATATCTCCAACTTCAGCTCCAAGAACAACTTAGGAATTCTGGCTTCCAGCACTGGGATGAAGCACCACGGGAGGAGAAGAGAGAGCACCAGTATGATCAACCATTTACCGGGCTGTGTTATCCGGGCCAGTGTCCACGTCCTCTCACCCCACGCAAGGAGAGTTTTCTGAACACACACCCCTCAAAGGGCACATTGGGGTAGTGTTGGCAAGTTAGGTACACACGTGATGGATAGCTGGAGCACAGCATGCAAGTGACAGTTTGCACTAAGGACAAAGGAAGAGCTCAGGGTAAAAAACACATGCTTTTGTGAAGAGATTGCTGCTTTTGTCTTTTGGGAGTTTTTTGGCCGTACTAAGGACTTTTGGGCGACACCTAGCATGCTCAGGGGTTATTCCTGACTCTGAAGTCAGGAATTACTCCTGGCAGGACTCAGCCAGGCACCATATGGGATGCTGGCGATAGAACATAGGTGGGCCACATGCAGCCCTACCTGCTGTACCATTACTCTGTAGCCCCAACAATTTGACATTTTCTGTATAAGGATGTGTCATGTCTAGAAGACCAAATTCAGTGACAAGCGTTGCCACATAACTTCCTTCAGATTAACATTATGACCAAAGAGCAAGGTCAGCAGTTAAATTCCAATGATCTAATGAACTGAGTAACATTGCCTTCTTGGGCCCTTGGGCAGAACCAGTGGTCAGTTGGACGAAAATCATGAGTGAGGTACCTGTGTGGCCTGAGTACTGTGTGGGAGCCCCCACCTACCAAAATACAAAAGGACTGTATTGTGCTTATTTTTTTTAATGTTCCTATCATTAGAAACTTCATGGTAACCATACAACCATTGACTTGTCCTTGGAAATCACTGCGTAGTATCAAGAATACACTTGTGGCATTATCTCATTTAGGGCTGGCATTTGGGGCAAGCAGCCTAGGCAGTGAGACCTATAGGCCTTTGTCTTAGAAGAACAAAGAACTCTTGCTGCCATCTTGAAATGTTTCATTTTCAGAGGGCCCCACATTTCAGTTTTGCAGAGGACTGTGGGGTTATCTAGTGAGTCCTGCTTATACCTTTAGGATTTAGATTAATATACATACTCATTCAGCTAAAAGTCACTGCCACGTGCCGGTGTCAGGAATACCACTGAGAGAAAATGTGCCATAAATGCGTCATGTCCAAGGAGTGGAAGTATATAGGGTAGGCTGACTACATCTTTACCAAATTAACTCTGCTTTTATTGCTCTTCGGACAGGTGGAAGAATCACCTCATGTGTCTTCTAGACTTCTGAATATGAGACTGAACAGCTTAACCCCAAGACAACTTTTCAAGCCTGCAAATAATCAAGAAACTTGATCTTATTGTTGATTGCTCAAAATATCTTCCTCTTTTCCCCATTTGACACAAAGTGAACATCAAGATTAAAAAGGAAGTATATAGCTGGTTCTATTTTAAGATGTGTGTACTGAGAGATTTTTAAGTCCATCTGATCAAAGAACAATTTCATCATTTCTCATGAGAACAGAGAACACTGGATATAAATGAGAGAAAAAGATATTTTTTTAATTTTCAAAAAAAGTTTTAAAAGTTTTTTATAAGCCTGATTGACTTTTGTGATCATTGTGGGTGATCTTTGCCAGCGGACTGAAACCCTAGTAAGGATAACCTGTAACTGACTGTTTCGAACGCACATCCCAGACACCGAGTCCTCTCAAGGCCACTGCTTGCTCCATCCACTTGGGACATTTTCCTGGAAATTCTTTCTGAGCTGTGAGAATATTGATTTTTGATTCTGTCATACTCTGAGAGATCATGGACATGAAACACTGTATAAAATTCAGTTGTACTGTATTGATCTGATATGCATACTTAATATATTGCAATATGATTGGCACTGTAGAATTAATGTTTCTATCATGTTAATTATTCACTTGGGGAACACACTGATTTGACAATACTGTTTGGAAGAATTTTTATTCTGAGTGATTTAATATCTATAGCACTGTCACTGTAGCACTGTTCTCCTGCTGTTCATCAGTTTTCTCGAACGGGCACCAGTAAATGGCTCCTGTGAGACTTGTTACTGTTTTTGGCATATTAAATACATCACGGGTAACCTGCCAGGCTTTGCCATGTGGGCGGAATACTCTCAATAGCTTGCCGGGCACTCTGAGAGGGGTGGAGGAATTGAACCCAGGTCGGCCGAGTGCAAGGCAAATGCCCTACCAGCTATGCTATCACTCCGGCCCATAATATCTATATCTATATCTATCTATATATACATGTTTAAACACATATATAATCTCATATATAAAATCACTCAGAATAATATATGTACACAAAGAAAAATTTATGCTCATCCCAGTTTTTAAAAAAAGTCTTACTGATCCAATTCACAACCATTTGAGAGTTCAACCGTTTGAAGTGTACAAAATACATAAAGCAGTTATTACTACCTTCACAAAAGTTGTACATCAACACCTTAGAATTTAGAATATTTTTAATTCTCCCCAAAGAAATTCCAGGGACCAGAAAGATGATCCAGCTGGAGGGGCTCCTGCCTTGCACTTGGTAAGCCTGGGTTATTCTCCAACATTTCTTGTGGTTCCCAAGCCCTCCAGGAGTGATGCCTGAGAATAGAGCCTGGAGTAAATTCTGAGGACCACAGGGTGTGGCCAATCAAAACAACAAAAGAAACTCCACCCTCATCCCCAGGCAGCTGCTAGATCTACTAGATCACTGTGATTTGCTTAAGTGGGGCCTTTAATATAAACCAACCCATACATTCTGTGGTTCTGTATTACTTCATTCACTGCGTAATTTCAAGTTTCATCCTGGCATAGAGGTTCCAAAATTTATTTTACCTGTCCAGAGCAAGGCTTCTAAAACTTTTTCCTTTTGTGACCCCATTCTTGCCCCAGAAGTGTAAAATGGGTAAGTACTGCCAGAAACACTTCTGATTTATTACTCATTTGATTTTCAATCAATTTTTGGGCGAATGTGCCTTAAGAACCTTCCATAGTTGCCAAATTCATCATCTCCACTTGTAGTTATGTGATCTCATAAAGAGTTTCAGATGCTAGAGTCCAGAAAACTAAATTATATCCAAAGAACCAAACCAAAAAAAATGCAATTTTTGCTTTTTAAAATCACTGTTTATTCCATTTGGTAGAGGGTTTTTGCCCATACAAATATTTGCAACGATTTTTTTTAATTCCCCCAAAACCATACATAGACGATAAATACCATGCTATTAAAGTATTAAATTTGTACAAAAATACTTTACAGTTTAATACTTGTCTGTTACAAATAAAAATACATATTTAAGTGACTCATGATCTTTTTTTTCTTAACATAACTCTGCTTTATACTTTCTTGCCCTGGAAGTTCTGAAATAAGATTGAAATAATATATTTCTTTTCACAAAAAGAAAGGTGAACTTTTTCCTTAAATGAAGGACACAGTGTTCAGATGTTCCTAAGCAGTAGTTTGAATCATTGACCAAAGGAAATTGTTTGAAAAATAACTGTTTCAGAATGAAGATTCTACAATCAATATACAGATCTATTTTTTTAATATTCACTAAATAACAGTTATTAGTGTAACTATTCAAAATATCTGAACAAATGAAAACAGTTGCTGACGAACATTAAAAGCAACTGTCACAGTTTATTGCTTTGAAGGATGGTAATAATTGGCAATGCATTTTGGGAAAAATGTATTTACAATTTCAGTAAGTGGCATGGCTCAGAACAAAAGACAGTCCAGTGTCATTTTTTAAAGTATATATGCTGTACACCCCTCAATATAACCAGTTTTCAAAGCATATCAAGCAGTATGAGTTTGATTTGTCTATCAAAAAAAAACCCTCATTTTAATAGACTCTTCATTCTCTTTTAAAGTCTTAGCTGTGAATTTAAAAAATAAGATGACATACCTAATTTTCAGTGTTACTAACCACTCTAATTCATTATCAGAGATTTTCAGCTATTAAAAAATGTGTCCTTAAAAAAAAACAAAACAAAACAGGTCACAAGACATATCCTGTTTGATCATCTGTTGCATAGGGAATAGCATACATCTTAGCTAAAATCATTCCTATACTTGGGCAGAACATTTACCACCACCTATTATGGTCTCCTACGTGCATCATTGCTGAAACATGTCAAGTAACTTAATCTTCTACCTCTCCCCCTCCCTTAGCAGCAGTCCCTGTGGGTCCCCAAACTCTAGTTCCCCTAGTAGAGCCAGTTTTAACGAAAGCTTTTTCTTGGTTATGGTCTAACATGGATGACTTACTTCTTTGTAAGAAACTGATTTCAAAGTGAATTTAAGGAAATCATCAGTATTTTTCAAACAGACATTTCTCTTTTTAAAAAGTGATAGGAAGATGAACTTGTAAAAAAATTTCCTCTGATGTTAATTGTTTGTGAGGGGGAAGAGGGTGCTTACCTAGTGTTCTTTTTCTCTACCATTGGGCTAGACAGGAAGTTACCTGTACCATTGTGGTCACCAGAAAAGCAACCTTTTCAACTTGAAAAGGGACATGAACATGAGCCATGAGAGAGACTGAAAAGACCCCTGTGCTTGCAGTTAATGCCACGTGATTATCTGTGCTTCGAGGTCACAGAAATCTTAAAGGGATTTTCTTTTTTCTTTCTTTTTTTTTGTTTTGTTTTGTTTTTAGCACCATGTAGATATTGTCTTTTGTCCTGCTTTATAAAAAGCGTTGCTATAATGTATTAGTGGGTTCTCGTATCTCCAAGTTACCACCATGGCTAGGCTGTTGGTAAAACACATTGTTCTGTTCACTCCATTCTCCTGGGAGAGGCTGATCTATAGACTTCTGGGAAGGGAGTGGGTTTCTGCTGATCACCAGGTCTAGCTTATTACCGGATTCGGCTATGAGGGGCACCACAAGGCAGCAGTCAAAGTCTCTCGTCCGCACGTGATTCACCTGGAAGGTTAAGAAGGGCTGTTAGGAATCACTGTTATCATTGTTAGGGTCACAGGAGTCCAGCAAGCCCAGAGGACCATGTCAGACGTGATGCCTGTGGAGAGGGGATCTCTGCTCTCACCATGCTAACGTGGGCTTGGCCTATCCTACAGGGCCCCTGCGAGCAGGGAACAAAGACACAGTCCCCATCCTGAGGTCAAGAAGAGCAGATCAGTTTACCCCTGACAGGAGCACCAACAGTTGGAGGAAGGAGAGGCGGGGTGACCAAGAGATTTCCTTGAGGTCAACGTAAGACTAGATTTTTCTTGAGGTCTAGCTTGGAGGCAGTTATGTGTGCTCTTGACCACGAACTCCCTCTCAGAAGTCGCCCTGTCTCTCCTTAGCACATTGCCTCCCTTCATTTCTCTATTCTTCATCAACTTGCCTGAAATCACCCACACACTGCGTCTGCCCCTGAATTTCACATTTCACTCAGTCTTCTTAGGTCTAGGACTTGGCCTTGATCTTGTACATATGCCCCGCCCCCCCCCCCCCCCCCCCCGTTCAGTTCCAGGGTGGTCTTTGGTGATCATCCTCATTGGCCTTTTAGCAGTGCTGCTTTCCACACCCATTAACTTTTTGTTTTGGGGCCACATTTGGTGATGCTCAGGGGTTACTCTTGGCTCTGCACTCAGAAATTACTCCTGACAGAGTTCTGGGAACCACATGGGATGCCGGGGATCGAACCTGGGTTGGCCCGGTGCAAGACAAATGCTCTACCCACTGTACTATTGCTCCGGCCTCTCCCAGTCTTTCTTTTGGGATAGGATCACACCTGGCAGTGCTCAGGGAACCAGGCAGTACAGGGACTGAACTACATCCCCAATGTACAATGCATGCATGCAACCCTTCGAGCTACCTTCCTGAATCCCTCCTAACCTGAAACAAGGGCAAATGGGAGCTCACTTGTCAATCAAAACTCTGAGGTGCTAAATAAAATTCTTTCCAAGATCATACCTGTAAGAGCCTATCATAGGGCTTTAAGCCACCGAGATCTCCAGGTCCAGCCGGGCGAATATTTTTAACATACACTCCTTTCTCCAGCAAGCCGTCCGCAACACTGAACCCAAAGTCCTCCATGTCAGAGCTCTTGTACAAGGTCACCTGGATAGAAGAAAATGTGAAGCAGGCATTGAGCTAGGCTGAAAACTTCTACTGCTTGCTAATAAAACTCTAGTTTTGCCCAACTCACTTCAATAAAATGCTGGGACTGTAATAAATAAAGAAACTACCCAAACTTGCAGCTTTCCAAACCCTTCTCCAATCGTATCCTTTAATGTTTCAAAAGTCCCAGTCAGAACTGAATGAAAGGAGAAGAGATCTGTTGAGGAGGCTGGTCTTTTTCTTTCAAATTGTAGCCAACAGCTATTTGTATACATATGTAAGAATTTCCCCAGGGCATCATCATCACCACCATCACCATTACCGTCATCACCATCACCATCATCATCATCACCATCACCATCATCATCACCATCACCATAATCATCATCTTCACCATCATCATTATCATCACCATCATCATTATCATCACCATCGTCAGCATCATCATCATCATCATCACCATCACCATCATCACCATCACCATCATCATCTTCACCATCATCATTGTCATCACCATCATCAGCATCATCATCATCACCATCACCATCACCATCACCATCATCACCATTATCATCATCAGCATCACCATCACTATCATCATCACATCAACATTGTCATCATCATCACCATCATCATCATCATGTTGGAAGCAACAAGGGAAACTTGGTTCTTGTGGACAGAGCTAGAAGCTTCCCCGCTGCCCGCTCTGCCTATTGCTGTTGAGCAGAGGACTCAGTCTCTGGCTTCTCCTATGAGCAAGTTACAAGAAGTCCACCCTTGGACTTGGCATTGTGCCCCCACCAGTATGTCAGATATTGAGAAAAAGTGCATGAAAGTATCTGGTAGTGTTTCTGTAACATACCCCATGCCCTGTAATCTGGCATGCACAGTTCCCGTGAGTACCTGCCCAGGGCTGGGTTTAATAACTCAAGACACTTGCCTCCTAACTGCTGGCCTCAGCCATTACTCTGCAGTGCAGGTCAGCTCTGGCCCATAAAGCATTCCACTCTTTCCTCTGCATAAGTTGGTCTGAGGAAGCATTCGTACACTCATCAAATGTTCATGGAGACCCTATCTAAACATGTTTCTGGGAGCTGGGGAACAGCAGGGAATGAGAGGGCAGAGCCTGACATCAAGGCAAATGCACCAGTGCATCCAATTCTCTAAGCCCCCACCATGCCAGATGCCTGAGGGACCTCTGAGCACCTGCCACCTGAGGTGTTTCAAGTTGGCTGGGTTTCAGCAGGGCTTGTCAGATGTCCTCTGCAAGATCGGATGCGCACTGAAAGCCATGACGGCAACTACTTTTTAAAACCCTACTATTAAAACAAATCTTTTATCTCAGTTAGGATGCATACAGGCTTGTAAAATGTCTGAGCTGTACAGGGCAAAAGGTGGAGACTGAAACCTCACAGTGGGTTAACTCTTTCAGATGGAGTGGTTTTTCTCCATGGAGGTACAGAAAGTGAACCAAAACCAAAAGGGCCAGTTTGTTGCTTTCTGTATAATTGAATTGAGCTCAGTTCATTCCATTCATACAGTTGTCCGAGTGGTCACATGAGAAATAAACAGGTCCAAAGATGCCTATTAATAAAAGATGGGGCCCATCTATCTGATTCCAGACACAGGGTTTTTTTTTTTGGGGGGGGGTAGGGGTAGGGGGGCACACCCAGTGGTGCTCAGGGTTGGGTCCTGACTCTGTGCTCAGGGATCACTTTTGGCAGGACTCAGGTATCTGTGGGGTGCCAGGGATTGAACTCAGATCGGCTGAAAGCAAGGAGGCGCCCTACCCACTGTACATAACTCCAGCCCCGCAGACATCAAGTTCTTAACCACACAACTTCACAGCAGCTAACAATGCCTTAGTACATGGGTTTGGACGCACCTGGTCCATATTTTAAACTCTCTGAAATCAGGCTGTGCTTTATCACTGATAGTACCTTAGACACTGGGAAATGAAACATATCAACATTTCAGTCCTTCCTGATTTTCTCCTCAAGAGCCTAAGAAGGAAAGGGGTCCTCACTTTGTTCCAACTTTACTTCAAAAGAAAAACACATGCCTGATACCGTTAATGTGGTGCTGAGGGGCAGCATCAGCCTCACTCAGTGTGTTCAATAACATAATACTTGCTCATTTATTATCTTTTAAATAATACTCATTAAAATATACTGTGTTCAAGAAAGCTTTATTCAAAATTATTATTGTTCATGTTTTGATTCCAAGCAATGCATTAGGTGATAAGGATAAAATGTCTGCGGGGCTGGAGTTCTGTACAGTGGGTAGAGCACTTCCTTGCTTCCAGCTGATCTGAGTTCAATGTCTGGCACCCCATAGACACCTGAGTCCTGCCAAAAGTGATCCCTGAACACCTATGTCTTCAAGGGATTGACCTAGTGTGGAAAGTGTAACTTACAAACAATGAAAATAAAAAGTAAAGACTATATTATATAGGCAAAGTGAATATTTCAACAATATTGTTAGATCTAATACATGAATAATGAATATTAAATATCTACTCATCTCTGTGTAATTTTCTCCTTCTTAAAACATTTGTTTCAGTGAATATCTTCCAGCTCCTTGGCTAATTCTTCTTCCTACACATTTAGTTATCATGGGACTATAATCTCTATCAATTAAAATTGTTTTAAAATAATGTTTCTTTTCTATCCATTTTGAGTTTTCATAAGGGTTTAATCTTGTTGAATTATTTCTAGATCTACTGAGATTATCATGTTTTTAATTCTTCCTTTAGTTAATGTGATATAACATATTAATTGATTTGAGATGTTGAGCCATTCTTATACTCCTGGAATGAATTCCACTTTATTGTGATGAATAACTCTTTTTAATTGAAAATTCAATTTGCTATTATCTTGTCGCTAATATGAAAATACAAAATTTGTTACGACAGAGCCTGGCAAGCTACCCGTGGCATATTTGATATGCCAAAAACTGTAACAATAACAGGTCTCATTCCCCTGACCCTGAAAGAGCCTCCAATATGGCAGCATTGGGAAAGAAGAAAGGAGAAGCTGCTAAAATCTCAGGGCTGGGACAAATGGAGACGTTACTGGTGCCTGCTCGAGTAAATCGATGAACAACGGGATGGCATAAGTAATTATTTTGTCAGTGTAAACATGTTCTATAATTTGTGTGTATGTAAAAAAAATTAAATAAACGGACTGGTTCTGTCATTCCTGAAGGTTGAGTTTGGAAACCAGTCAGAACTAGACAGGATGTGCTGAGTATGAACTAAGAGGAATTTAATTCTGGAGCACAAGCCATTATTCCCCCAACTCCTATCTTCCTCAGGACTGTCCTAGGAATTAGCTAGCAAGGCTGAAGGGAGGTTGGGACAACTGGAGCTGGTGGGACAAAGCTCTATGGCGACACCACGTGGACCTAAGGAGTGGGAGCATCTTTGAATGGGAGTCATATGAGACTTGGAAGCCCATTTTTGGGACATTGACAGGGTGACATGGAGGTTCTTCTAGCAGGACATGTGGTCTTTTTTGTGATAATATCAGTATCCTGTAACAAGTAGATTAAAATGTATGCAGGACATTACTATGTATCAAGTGTGTGGAGCAGATCATACAGATAGGGAAACAAAAATCATAAAGAAGGGTAGAAGCTTGCAGTGAGGTCTGGGGAGAAAGACTGGTACGTGTGCTCTGCATGTAGAAACCACAGATCTAACTGCTGCATCACACAGTTCCTCCAGTACCTCCAGTTGCTCCGCACACCCCAGAGAAACTGACATCATAAAATAGACAGCAAGCCTAGGAGAAACTGGCTCACACATCCAAGCGGTTCTGACTGTGAATCTCAACTTTTCCCAGGAAACACTTGCTTTACTAATGTGTGGTTGCTTAACACGCACTGCCAAGAAGAATTTTCAGGTTCCCCCAGAACTGTGATTTTTCCATAGGCCACAGGACAGAGAAGACCCCTTTGTCCTAACACAAGAAGAGCGAGCATTAGAGAAAGCTATCGGGGAGTGGGGGGTGTCACACCCAGAAATGCTCCGGGGTTACTCCTGGCTCTGCACTCAAACTACTTCTGGCGGTGCTGAGGGGACTATGTGAGATTCTGAAGACTGAACCCAGGCCAGCCATGTGCAAGGCAAACGCCCTACCTGCTGTATTAACTCTCTGGCCTGAATGTTATTTTCTATTGATAAACATCAAGCAAAGTCAGGAATAGAAAAGCCAGAACAGTGAATCTCCAATATTCCTTTCTAAGACACTACCACCATCCACAGCTTGCCTCACTCCGCCCATCTTTTACTTTCTGCATTGGGGAGTATTTTATTAAAGAATTGTGATTTGCAAAGTTACTGATAGTTGAGTTTCAGATGTACAATATTTTAGAACCAATCCTACCACCAGTGTCAGTTTCCCTCACCAGGATACAAGCCCCCACCCTGCAAGCACCCTTCCCCACTTTCCCTGCGCTTACAGGTGATTTCACTAGTACTATTTTAGTACCTTTCTTCCATGCCAGACTTCTTTTTCAAAAGAAGGAAGGGGAGAGATAGGAGGAGAAGGGTCATAAAGGAGGAGGTGGCAGATAGCTAATGGGATTGGTGCTAGTCTGTGATACTTAGAAATCTCTTGCTCTATGGGCTGGAGCGATAGCACAGCAGGTAGGGCCTTTGCCTTGCATGCAGCCGACCTGGGTTTGATTCCCAGCTTCCCATATGGTCCCCCGAGCACCGCCAGGAATAACCTCTGTGCATCCCCCCCCCTCCCCACAAATAAAGAAAAAAACAAAACCTTTTCAACCCAGACAACAATGCACATCCCAAGGCCTGCTCTAGGCCCAGCATATCAGCCATTTCCATCTTTGCTGCTAGATGGCGATGCTCCCCAGATTTTTCTGTTCCACTGTAGGTAGATGTGAGTCATGATGCATTTAATGGACAATGTGCTAGGGCTGGTTAGGTAAATAGGTTTTTGCTTTTCAGGCCCAACTATATATATTTTAAGGTGGAG